AAATGAATATTGTGTTTTGCCTCCTGTAAATCCCGTTGTAATTCCTCTACAAGATGACTCTAGCGACAGCTCCGAAGGCGAGGATGATATATAAATACCTATAATGTAAGTCTTTATATACCTTTTTATATACCTACCTGCTATGTAAATATTTGCCTACGTTGGAATTCTGTAATTTTTCCATTTCTTAACTTTCAGTCAACATAAATTAAACTCCCAATATAAGTATTTTTTATCCCAAATCAAAAAAATAAGAAGATAGTAAAATCCATTTATTGTGATATAAAAACATTATTATTATCGTTCTAAATAAATGACCGCACGCCTATGATACGTCATGAAATTACAAAGGACGCGCCGACCAAAGGTTTTTATGCTATTTCAAGTGACTTCAGATAAAGTATAACTCTGTCTCTCAGTTCTACTAACTTGACTGGCAGAACCACTTTCTTCTGTCTTTCAAGGCGTATTCTTCTATAAGGAAATGAAACATTGAAATGATACAAGATGATGTTAAAGAATGTATCACAAGCGCTTTCCGTAGAAAACTGTTGGTACATTTCCAACCAGCTTTCTTGACTCAATTTTAGTGTGAAATTTTGTATATTCTGTTCAGAAAAGTCTCGAATATTTGAATACTTATTGGCTTCGTTGCACTGCACTTTAGATACCCGGATATTGAGGATTATACAGTAATGGTCAGACAAACAGTGATCCACAACAGATACATTAAAATCCTTATCAAAATTCACTAAGAAATTATCCAAACAGCTGTTGGACCAGATTTATCAACTAATTTGTGACAGTTTAAAAAAATTTCATATCCACAGTTGTCACATTGACAACGCCAAAAACAGCATTCTCAAAATGAATGACATAATTTTTAAAGGCAAATAGAATCATCAGCTGACAATATATAAATGCGGTTCTTGTTACATTCATTTTTTAAGAAACATATCAATATCAGATTAACTGAGTGACACTTACTATGTTTTTCAGAATTCAAGAATTTTTTACAAATCGATTTATCTTGTCATGAACAACAAGTGATAAAATGGTCAGGTTTTCCTGTCAAGTCTTTGTGGTGGCTGTTTGTATTGTTTGGTAAAAGAGAAGCATTCAGTTTTCGTACATTTAGGGTGTCAGTTAAATTTCGTGAAGCTGATTGAGAAGCCTTCTTGTGATTGCTCAAAATGCCTAGAGTGAGTAGAATTAGCCGGGTGTCCCAGTTAAGTGACTTTGAGAGGGGTCAAATTGTAGAGATGCATGAAGCCGGTCTATGGATAAGAGAAGTTTCTAGGAGGGCCAACAGATCCTTACGCAGTATATTGCGGCGACGGACAGCGAGAGAGGGATTCTGGACATCCCAGAGGGACCACAGTGACAAGACTGCCGGTTAAGACTTGACCCATCGCTAATCAGTGGTTTAAGGAGCAGGAAAGGATGGTTGGCATGCGTAGGGTATATCGCCGAATACGACAGTTTGGCATTTTTTCAGTCACATTATGTGCTACCTCTCACACCTGAACATGGGGGTAACCATTTGCTCTGGTGTAGAGAAAGAATTATATGGGACCGGGAATGGAATCAGGTGGTCGTTATATTCAGGAAGCCTCATCTCCATTCCATTCCTAAACATCATCCAAAACCCGATTTTTCAGCAAGACAATGCCAGACTGCATATTGCCAGAGAATCGTTAGCCTTTATGGATCAACATCGCATCAACCGTTTACCTTGGCCACCACGATCGCCTGACCAATCTCCAATTGGGACATTTCAGGCAGCAGCGGTGGCAGCAGTAGTAGACTCTTCGGTCTCCTGATCAGTCGCCGTGCGCTGTGCGGGTTCGAGTTCCGTCCCAGGAGAAATTTTTCTCTTGGCTATGGATGTTGTGATTGTCCGTAGGTGGTAGATGGTCTCTGACTGTCGAACGCGGAGGTACCACCCGGCGGTACACGTAGGCGGAGCCAGAATGTGTGCATGTTGCATGCACACGTGTTACCTCGCCAGAGTCCGTGTGGCGTCCCCCCTTTCCCATGTATCCCCCATAGCCCCACGGTACCCAATGGGTGCTTAGGCCTTAGGCCTTCGTGGTAGTTGGATTATAAAAAAAATGCCTTTTAAGTTTTGCATATGGAAATAAAACAACACTGTAGGTAGTTTTAAATGACTTTATTGTTTTTCGAAGTATTCTCCGCGAAGATTAATACACATCTGCATGCGCCCGAACCAATTTTCGAAGCACTTATTCGACTCGTTTGCTGGCAGATCCAAAACGGCATTTTTGAATGCGTCAACTGCTTCTTCTGGTGACTGGAACCTTTGACCACGCAGTTTGTTTTTAATTTTCCGCTCCAAAAGCTATTTTCAACAACAAAATAATAAACAAACCGTGGGCGTAGTGACGAAAAGCATTTACTTATTAAGTAAATTCTTTTAGCCAAATTTCTTCTGAAAGTAGTACAAACTAATCTGATGTACCTATTAAAATCTACTTTAAGCTTTAAATCAACAAATCTTCAAAATTACTGAACTGACGCTAATGTATTTTACATCATTATAAAGGGAATTGAAAGACCTTTAAAATAAGGTATCACTCGACCCCCCTTTCCATTCAAGATTTTGGGGGTGGTGTCACCCCCGCCCAGGGGGCTGCACGTGCTAACGTGATTTTTTGCCAAACTTGTGTCCCCCTCGAAAACAAAATTGACGGGACTGTGCGTTTTTAAAAAAACTGAGCTGCCAGTAAATGCGTCTGTTTCGTTTTCGATTCGCCACCCTGTATATGGCTTAATTTACTGCTCAGCGCAGTATGGAGCTAAATACTAGTCTGATCAGACCACCCTGTATATTTCATGCATTTCCTGGAATGCGGTGGCAATGGCCGTGTGTATTCCCACGAAATCCGTGCATCCGCCGGCGTCGGATTCTTTCAGATTAGAAAGTGTGGGCGTCTGCCTTCCCCAGAACGGAAATTAAATATTTAGTTCCAGATCTCGCTTCTGCTTGCACGAACGAGGACGGTATTTCAAAAACAATCCGTTTCCTTGCAGGCTCATCTATTTCAGTGTTATTGCCATGAGCCCGAAAGGACTTTGGGCCTCGAAGTGGACTGAGTGTAAAATTCTTTGTTTACTTTTACTTACTACAACAATGCTTCAAGGTAGCTTGTCTAGTTTACTTATTTAAAATTTGTTGACGGGAGTGATTGAAGAAATGAGATTGACTCAATACTTCACTTGTATAAGGGGCCGTTCAAGTATTATGTAAGCAGATTTTTTACGATTATTTACTGATCAGCAAAAGTAGGCAAATCTCTAACCGCCTCCCGCAGTCTTGCATCAGCATTGTTACTTGTTTCTGTAATCTGTTCGGGTTTCTTTCTTTAGAAACATAAAGACTATCCAGGTATCCAGTCTTCCCGGAGTTACACAGTACAGTTAAAAAGATATTTACAAAAATTCAGAACAATATAACATAGTTTGGATCAGAGTTTTTTTCCCGTTTATTTATTACCTATTATCTCTTCGTATTTTTATAACTGAATCGGCATTACTCATACCAATGTATGTTGACTTAATCCGTCTATTTTATTTTGTTGTTTTTTTAGAAGGGGTGAATCGGCTACCATAGACAATAACCCCCCCAAACCATTACTCCAACAATCCTGTGCACATGCCTCTAACAGCAAATACAATATCACGCCATTCTCTTAACCTTCTACGACCATCGTGCGTACCAAGACAGAATCGCGATTCGTCGCTGAAGATGACATTATGCCATTCTGCCTCTCAGTGTTGCCGTTCTCTGCTTCAGTTCAAACTTTGACGACAGCGGTCCGCAGACAGAGGAAACACTAACCGGGGACGGTATCAAAAAAGTCCAAAGGCTCGAAGAATGCGGCGACAGAGTGTACGCATAGTACCAGGTCTACCTTCTTCTCCAAACCATGTGGTACGCCTCGGTGGACCAGTTGGCCTTCTTCGTGTTCCTTTACCTTCTTCTATCCACACACGCATTACCGTCATTGCAGTACAATTAACACGGCGGGAAATTTCGCGATAGGACCAACCAACATCTCGATAGGCAATAGTTCTAACCGTGTCAACATGGTGATAATTTAGACGTCTTCGAACACGAGACATTTTGGTATGCGTAAATGAAAGAGCAATAACCGAAAATATCTGTACTACTCAGCTCTCAGAAACTGCTTTCTTCACAAAAACTTCTGACGCGTAGTAGGCAAAACGGTCTCGTAGGACTAGAAGAGATTTTAACAAAGGTGCACAAAAACAAAGATAAAACGTCGACATTGCATCCCATGCCCTCTCTTTCTTTCTCGAAAGTGTAGTTTCAAAATTTTGGTCCTTAAAAGGTTCTCGTATTTGAAGTCCAACGAAAATTCCTTCTTTAAGCTTTGCTTCACTCATACGCGGGAATTTCCGTCTCAAACAAAGGAATTTCGAGCATCTGGTATTTTATAGAAACAACGGGAATCAAGAGATCGGAAACGATATACAGGGGCCATTCAATAAGTAGGAAATAATTCTACCCCTGTCAACATGGTGATAAATAATTTAGACGTCTTCGAACACGAGGCATTTTGTTATGCTTAATACTAGTAGGTAAATGAAAGAGCAATAACCAAAAATATCTGTACTACTCAGCTCTCAGAAACTGCTTTCTTCACAAAAACTTCTGACGCGTAGTAGGCAGAACGGTCTCGTAGGACTAGAAGAGATTATAACAAAGGTGAACAAAAACAAAAATAAAACGTCGACATTGTTGCCACGGCATGCTTTATATATAAATAGTCATTATGTTGTTGAAGAAATTATTTTTTCTGAGTGTAACATTTCTAATATCACTGAGTATATTTTGTGATTGTTAAGTTATATTTACTGTGTTCTGATGCCTCCCCCAGTAATAGTTGGTGTTACAATTAAATAAATACGTAAATATTTAAGCTATCCTACTGACAAGAAACCGTTCATTCCAGGAGGCTCATAATATGGTGAGAGAGGCTAATGAGAAGCAAGCAGCGTCCGAAAAAGCACTGAAGGAAAGCCAGATGAAAGTGGACGTCCTCACCGCAGAAGTTGCTGCTTTGAAAACACTCGTGCTCACTTCCACGCCCAGTTCCCCCAACCCACATCTACATCCTCAACTAAACGGCGCTAAGGATGAGACTGGTAAGTTAGTTGATGTGTGTGAATATGTTTTCATAGCAAATGTATGAACAAATCGAAGCAGAAGATAAAAAAAAGTTTCTATCGTTAAACTGTTCATAAGCAGGAATTCCGCAACGTTCGTCCGCAATGCTAGCGCTAGACTTGACGACGCTTTAACTTTCTGCCGTTGCCGTTCCCGGTTCAACCAATGAAGGGGAGCCTGCAAATGACGTGTTTGTTGCGACATATCAGTGGTTTTTCTGTGTGTTTTTCGCTCTGTTTGACATGATATACGACGGTGCTGCCAGAAGTACCCGACCCAACGAAGAAAACACAAAATTTTTGTAAAAAACTTTTGGCAGCGATGTTTAATAAGTTCGATACCCTTTTTATAATAAGAACTGTCTTGCTCCTCAAAATAGCCATTAACTGCCGACATTACTTCTTCGCCGTTGAAAAATCTTTGACCACTGAGCCATTTTTTTGGAAACAGAAAATAATCCTAGGGGGCTACTACTATCGCCATCTCTAGGTCAGGCCGGGTACTTCTGGGACCACCCTCGTACCTCGTACATATGTTTTGTTTTACTTTTGTAATCGGCGTGCCTCTCTTTAAGAATGTTTGCTATCTTTTATTTGGTTTATCAAATAATAATACCAATTATCAGGAGATGTGTGTTACCGAGTGAGGACACGTAACTGATCTGCAGACAAGTCTGGTCTTCCAATATGTGAAGAAGAATGCAATTTTGGGTTAGGTTATGTTTCACGCAGGCGGTACGGCAACGTCACCTTTAAAACACCTTCCCCGTTTACGCTTGGGAAGTTAAACAGTTGGAATACACAGTTCGACATTGCGAAAATTTTTGTCGCTATAGTCAAATGCCAGAATTGATGACAGTAGCAGAAATCATCGTGCGCCACTGGTTTGACGCGGTACCTTTTGATTACAGCGACGGTTGCCGACATTTCACAAAGAAGCGCCGCATTTTCGAAGGCCTTCTCATAATAGCAGTGACGTACAATGAGTTTCGCTACTGTCATCAACTTTGGTATTCTACTACGAGTATATCCGAATTTTTTTCCGATTTTTTACGTCTACTGTGTTGTACTGAAATCTAATATGCAGTGAATTTCTCCCAATCACCCACAAGTTTTTAGAGGAGGGAGAATATAAAATATGAAAATCCGAAATTATAAGCGATCTAGTGGTGAATTTCTAAAAACTAGAAAAAAAAATAACAAATTCACTTTTTTTACATAATATGTATACTTCATATTGTATTAGAAAAACAATTCGCCACGGTTAAGGGTCCATCTAAGCAATTTGCTGGTGAAATCTTTAGCCGTGCTCGTCTGAAACTGCACCCAAATTGTCAGGGAAGAGTTATAATTGTGAGTGAAGACAATGCTTAAGTGACATTTTGCAACCTAAGGACTTATAAGATTGGATAAGTTCTTCAACTAGATCATTGAAGCTGTCCGACTTTTTGCTGCCTAGGAAGTTGCTACATACATTTTTGAAGGCATCCCATGCCCTCTTTTTCTTCTCGAAAGTATAGTTTAAAAATTTTGGTCCTTAAAAGGTTCTCGTATTTGAGGTCCAACGAAAATTCCTTCTTTAAGCTTTGCTTCACTCATACGCGGGAATTTCCGTCTCAAACAAAGGAATTTCGAGCATCTGGTATTTTATAGAAACAGCGGGAATCAAGAGATCGGAAACGATTTTACATACAGGGGCCATTCAATAAGTAGCTGTCCAACGACTATATTGTACGGTGAAATTTGGAATTACATGGGGTTCAATGGGTATCTCCTTTATTTGAAGCCCTAGCGGGTTGAGGCTTCGTAGATGATGGACAGTCCTAGATACCCCCATGCGGAGTTGCCAGATTGTACACGTTCCCTAGACTAAGAGAAAACGTAGACAATTTTAAGGTCGGTGTAAGGGTTAAATATGTAGGGCTTATCGTAATAACGTAATTGTGTGGTAGAGCGAATGTTAGTGCAGAACGGAGTTACTGGCGACTGGGAGGTAGTGAGTTTGTTACAAACCGGAAAATACTCGAGTAGTTCCAGTACTGAGAAATATCTACAATAAATGGTAACCATCAATGTACAAAAATGAGCGATCCAAGTTGCACGTACCTTTTACATTTTCTGAAATATCATGAAACGCCATAAAAATATAAAAATGAAAGTACTTTAGAGATTTTTGCCATTGCTCATCGACTTAGGACGTAAGACTGAATATCAAATTTGTGTCATATTGTCGCTTGAGCTCTAACACCGCCTAACTCAAAAGTAACAACATTTTAGGAGAGCAAAAAGAACAGCGAACTAAAGTGAAAGAGATAGTACAGGTTATAGACATCAAAAGAACGTGTTTGTCACATATTAAATGAACACTTGGGCATCAGAAAGCTGTCCGCGTTTGTTCACGTTAGACTAAAAATGTGTTCGAATGAACATTTCCAACGCTCTGTTAGCGCAGTTTAGGCGGTTGGTGCTGATTGATTCGGGAACTTTTCAGACCACGCTCGTATTATCAAATTATATTATCGACTCACAGAAATGCGAAAACAAATACAATAGTTACACCAAACTTTGATAACAGAGCACTTAAACTTAATCCGTCACTGAAATTCGGATTATACACTAGTACCGATGGATGGTTCGCGTTTCGTGCATTGAAATCATTTCACCTTGGACGAAGCGCTTGGTTTAAAAATATACAATTTTATGTGTATTACGCCATTCTTCCAATCGGAAATCAATGTCCATGTCACGGTCGCTTCTCAAATTCTACCTGTTTCCTTTTGCTCGTTATCGCACACACGCGCACTCACGTGGCTCGTTTGCATTCCAAAGAATTTTTTCTTCTGTTCGCTCGACCATGGTGATTTTTACTGAAGCCAAGAGCAGACGATGCAAATAGATGTAGAATAGATTTCGATTTTTGCAATTCGAGAAATCACCTTCAGTCAATAGGGAGCAGTTGTTTATTTTTACTTACCGCGCCGCTAGCGCGATTTTTTGTAATACTAATATACTAAGTGACATATAAATCCGAACACCCAGATTAAATGGTTTTATTTTAATAAAAGTTGGTGAATGTATTTATCTTACTGTAAATAACAAGTGAAAAAATTTTCAGCCTTATCAGTTGGACATTCCGGTTTTTATACTGCTTTTTTTTTTAATTCACTAACGCTCTAAAAATGAATATTTCAGCCGCAGTAAAGAATCAATGTTGGCGGATTTTGGTTCTTGACATCCTTTACGATCGGTTACGATGCCTAGAGTACGGAGACCTGTACGATTTCGTCAACTTAGTGAGTTTGATAGGGGCCGTATAGTGGGACTTCGGGAAGCTGGACTTTCTTTTCGGGCAATTGCAGTTAGAGTGCAAACAAGTGTAGACACTGTGGTTAGGTGTTGTCAGGTATGGCTTCGAGAAGGCCGTACGCAAAGAGCAAGGGGCACTGGACGCCGCCGTACAACAACAGACCGTGAAGATCGCCGCCTAAGATTATTGGCCTTAAGGGACCGTTTCTCCACTACCAGGTCCATTGCAAATGAATGGTTTGCAGAACACGGAAGACCTATTGGCATGCGAAGTGTTTACCGACATATGAGAAGTTTTGGCTTGTTTTCATACCGGCCACACTGGGTCCTGCCTTTAACTCACCGACGTAATCGCCTTGAGTGGTGCAGACAACGGTCACTCTGGGATCAGGAATGGAACAGTATTGTCTTTAGTGACGAGTCTCGATTTTGTTTAGGCATGCACGATGGTCGTGCCAGGGTTAGAAGGCGACGTGGTGAAAGGAGGAATCCACAGTTTTTTGTTGAAAGATATGTTCATCACACTGTTGGAGTTATGGTTTGGGGGTGCTATAGCTTATGGTTCCAGTTCACCTTTAATCTTCATCAAAGGTAACATGAACGCACAGCGTTATATCCACGAAGTTCTAGAACACCATCTTGACACCCTGGCAGATCCATCTTTCCAACAAGATAATGCCCGACCACATGTTGCAAGAGTCACAATAGACTTCTTTCAACATAATGATGTCACATTGTTACCATGGCCACCAAGATCTCCCGACTTATCCCCAATTGAGCACGTGTGGGATATGATGGTAGGAGATTGCTCAATTTGCAACGTCCTCCTCAGACTCTAGAAGCACTTCGAGAGGAGTTGGTGGTTGCCTGGAATGAGATACCACAGGAGGACATTGACCACCTGATCAGAAGCATGCCTAGGCGCTTTGGAGAATGCGTGGCACATCAGGGTGCATCCACACATTAAAGGTCAAAGGGCTTTAAAGCAGTCCAATCATTTTGAAATTTTTATCATTTACTTATTATGCTTCATTAAGTACTTATACAAAATTTTATTAAAATAAAACCATTTAAACTGGGTGTTCGGATTTATATGTCACTTAGTATAGTTTATTGTTTTCCGACACAAATTCAATGTACAGAACTCGTCAAAATGAATACAAAATATAAAATAAACAAAACACAAATCTTATAGTACACAATATTCCGAGACGACGTAATAGCGTTTTGTTATAAGAAACTGCTCAAGTTTTATTTTGAAAAATCGTTTCTTTGACGTATCTTATGTCTGCTGGCAAACTGTTAAAAATGTTTGGCCCTAAATACCTGGAGACTTCCTGGATACATTATATATCACAAAAGGTACATATAATTGTTGACATTATCTTGTATTTAGCCCATGAACATCTTCATTTCTTAAATAGTTTTATATTTTAAACAATTCCCTACAATTATGCATACTATTCACTTTGGCAATGCTTCAGATCACTCTTTCCTGGCATATAAATAACATACATGCATCATCGCACTTGATGTACCCCAGAAGCAAAGGCCGCACCTCAGTCAGGCATAGTATAGACTGATAAGTTGATCTTCATTTATAAAAAAATCTTACCACAGCAGTCTCTCTGAGTTTAAAAATAACTAATTTTGTGCAAACCATTTTTAAAGATGCTTCAAATGTCTTTCAATTAGTGACCAATACATTATCATGAGGATCTGAAATTATAATTGAGACATCGTCTATACACAATGTAAAATTTACTTGAAACAGTTCACCCAGATTATTTATATACAGTATAAATAACGGAGGCCCTAATATAGATCCTTGGGGAACTCCCATATCAATATCAACACATGCAGACTGGACTTGCTTTGTTTCTATATCATAGTTATGTAATATAGAAACATATTGTGACCCGTTTTTAAAAAAAGATTTGAGAACTACCAGTAATTCCGTAACCATGTAATTTTTAACAATATTCATGACTGACGCAGTCAGGTGCCCTGCTGAGATCACAAAAGACATTCGCCAGCCTCAATGAGATCAATTAGTTTTCCATAAAATGAATATATCGCTGTAGTGGTGGATTTATTATTACAGAAATCATGTTGCTCATCCGTTAGTATGTTATTCTTGATAATGTGTGAATGTAATATTTTAAAAACAGTATTCAAATATCTTTGAAAAACAAAAAGGCACAGTTACTGGCCTGTAATATTCATATCGGCAGGGTCACCCTTTTCAAATGTTGGCACAACTTTGCTTTTCTTCAGTACATTAGGAAACTTACCATTGCAAAAAAATTAAGGAAACAAGTGGTTTGGTTATATATATACAGGGTGTCCGCAAAGTTGGGGTTTTCCTTTACACGACGTGTAGATCTTGAAAACATAAGCAATTTTTCTTAGTAGCATATACACCAATGTGGGAACCGAGATAAAGGCTCTGCAACATCAAAAATATCTGAATACCGTCCTGTAGCCGCGACCCGCGATATCACCGACTGGTACAAGTGGGTCGGGGGCAGTGTGTCAGGTCAGAATGCAACCTTCAACCGACGATTACGGTCACGCGTGTAGAGGTAAACGAACCCTTATAATCGATTGCGTTTCAAAAAACAACAAGCACTAGAGACGTGGCTAGAGAAGTGCAAGTATCAAAAACTAAAGTGTGGCAAACGCTGCGTGAAGAGGGGCTGTATCCGTTTCACGTCCAACGTGTACAAGCCCTTCAACCTGACGATTTTCCAGCAAGAGTGCGGTTTTGTGAGTGGTTGTTGCATCAACATGACAATAATCCGGACTTTTTGAAGTGCATATTGGTGACAGACGAATCTACGTTCACGCGTAATGGGGTGAATAAATTTCGCAACACTCATGTTTGGTCAGTAGAAAATCCGCACGCTGTCCGTCGGGCACATTTTCAACAAACATTTTCGGTGAATGTTTGGGCTGCCACGGTGAACGGTATGCTCATTGACCATTTATTCTCCCAAATCGATTGGACGGGATGCAATACCTAGACTTTTTACGCAACATTTTGCCTTCCTTGTTTGCCTGCGTCTGATCGGTAGCGCATCAGCTGATTTCATTTTCTGTTGGAGCGGTATGATTTCGGGCAGAGACGTACTTAGCCCTTCTCGTCAACTGGAGAGTGAGTACTTTTTCCTTTATTTTTTTACTTGGTCGCCCTCGTTTCACTACACATTACCTTTGTTATTTCAATGGTAGTTGTTTCTGAAAAGGAAAACCCCAACTTTGCGGACACCCTGTATATATATATAATATAATACTCTTTTTACTAAGAAGTTTGAAATTTCATCAGGTCCAGATGACATTTTATTTTTTTACTTCAACTCAAAAAACTTCATCGGATACAAAAGTAAATCATGATGATATTCCTGACCTAGATAGTCACTTAAATTCCTAGAATTGGTTGTTTTTGTTATTTTTTATATACATACTTCAATATTCCGTTTTGTAGAACTACTGGTTTAAACTCTCTGGTACGAATGCAAAAAAATCTGAACAACTATAATAAATTTGCTGATATTTTTGCTTGTGAAATGTTACTGTTTAAATACTTGATAAAAAAACAGAATGTTGTCCACTCCCTATTAATATTTTTTCTTCACTGAATTGAATTATTTATTTCATATAGGTATGTAGATTATAAAATAAAACTCCTTACAATTTAGCATGTTTAACCTGTGGATGTCTATTTTTGGAGATTTTCTCTGTTTGATGTCCCTAATTTGTTAAATAAACAAATAAATGAAATAATGTACTATTATTTATTATTATTATTATACTTAAGCACCTAACGTCCACGTACAACCCTTGTTGTATCAGTAAGACGTATTTAAATGCAAACTAGCAAGGTTGTTCGTCAAAGCAAAAAGATGCGATACTCAACCTTGTCAAAAATGATCGAGTATGACATCAGCATAGTGTGGGTAGTGTAAGGTACACCTTGATTATATTTAATGTATTCACATAGCCATTACTGGATGAGGTACGATAAAAGATCTTAATATTCTATAAAAAATAAGGTGTGTTCTTTGTTCGTTGTTACAGGTGTGGCGTTGTTCAAGAAGCATCGCCGGTCTCCATCGCACTTTAATCTGAAATATGGCAGGGAAAATTCACCTCCAGATTCGCCAGTCAAGGAAGTGGTGCATATCACTTGTGAGGTGGAAAGCAAAGAAGGCTTAGAGGTAAGGATGAGTCATCGGTTGAATACGTATAAAACATAAACGAAACCTATCTAGTTCAACCACGAAGTGAACGTAAAAGAACAGACAGATGTCTGTTAAAAAATATTACTTTGCATTTGTGGTTTTTCGATTTTTTTCACAGGAAAAATTAGATGCCCGAATGGTATTTGGCAAGACTATGACTAACAGATTATTCTACATACTCATAGCTTAGAAACATACTACCAATTAAAGTATTTTTTTAAGTACCTGCAAATTCCTTCGTTTCGAATTACGAATTTCCCTACTAGACTTACAGATAACATCTGTAAATAGATCAAAAATTATTTTTCATTTCATAAAATACATGTCTTGTCTTCACAACTAGTTCTTTGTAATTTCACCGCTTTCTTTCTTTATTTTCTACACTCAAAACTCGTAATTTCCGAAAGCTTGTACTTCATTGCCTTGCAGAATTCCGAATTTCCAATTGACGTATGGGTTTTAACGGTATTGTACGCTACACTTTCTTCAATCGCCAGATCATGTTAGTCAAAGAATCACTTCCAATGCGACTTATTTTCACTACATAAGCTGACTAGCTTTGTTTAAAAACAATATTAAAAAATTTATTGACAATAAAATCAGAAAATTGTTTAGCGTCGTTTCTGGTGTCCTATGAGACCATAATTACTTGTTATCAAAGGTGTTGTAATTTTTGGTGACAACAGCTGTCAAGTTTTGCCGCGGGTAAACTCTAAAAAACATCCTGATGACATTCGTAGGGCTACAAATCTTGTCCATGAAGTGAGAAACGCACTGCACGAACTCCGCAACGAGCAATGGAGCCAATTTCTGTCGGGAATGCTTGATTCAAGTATTCCTCTGTGGAGGGTCGCAAAGTCACTCGGAAACGGAAAGCGAGAACAACTCCCGCACATCCACGGTCCTGAAGGCATACAGTATATTCAGATAAGAGATAGACCGGACATAAACAAGACCACGTGATCATCGAACGCTGTAACATTCGGCAGGGACGTATTAAGAGTCACGCAGTACATATTTAAGATAGTAGATGCTGCTTTGCGTAACTTGTAGTAAATTAGCACAATTCGATGTGGATACGATTGGTGATGGATATAGGATCAAGTGGGGGTCGGGTAAGAAATATATAATGATGTAAATGTACATAAGGGTTTCAAAATTTTCGCTTCGATTTCCAGCTTCGGATGCCGCCTGATGTTTGGTGAAATACAGTCGAATACAATCTCAAAATGGCGTTTAAATTAGCCTAAATTAAAAATAATCGTATATCTCTTAAAATTGCTTTTAGAATATTGATTAGTATATTTTTTGATTTCTAGGTAAATATGTAACCAAATTAAAACGTTCAAAACGTAAAAAAATGTGCATGGTTGAACATTGTCAGAAAGTAGATTCTTGAATAGGTTTTGCCAAAATGGGTTCAAAAATATCAATAATTAATTAAAAAATACAGTAGCTTCATAATTACTTATAACTTACCGAATTTGATGAACGACATCTTTTATTGGAAAGATGAGCTTGATGAGCTTTCATCATCGCTACTGCCTGAAGCACCAACGTCAATAATGAATGGCTCGACTTGTTCCTCTAAAATATTGTCCAGTTCCCACATTCTCTTTTCAACTTTGTCTTTCACGTGCTTAATACAGTTTTCCCATTTTTGCGCTGTTATTAATTCTAGTGCTTCTTTGAAAAGTCCTTTGAGGTCACAAAATTTAAAAGTTGTATTGTGCTTAGCTATATAATTTTTAACCTCTGCCCATACGAGCTCAATGGGATTGAGCTCGCAATGGTATGGAGGTAAACGAAGCACAGTTTTATTTTGACTTGCTGCCATTTCGTCAATGGCGTATTTTTGATATTCCGCCTTGTGATCCTTGACAATTCTTAATAATTGTACTTTCAGCATTGCTTCTTCAAAGTTGATATTTTTCGAGCGGAGCCAATTTTGAACATCAACTTTCCTTGAAGCCGTTGTTGGGACCTTCTCCATTCTTCGAGAATGATAAGGCGCATTATCCAACATAATTACTGCGTTTTCCTCTAAGTTCGGTTAAAATTTTTGAAAACCACTGTTCAAACGATTCGCCATTCATTTCCTCGTGGTAATCTCCAGTTTTCTTAGACTCAAAGCACCACAGACCGTCAACAACAAATCCATCCTCACTGCCAATATGGCAGATAATGAGCCTTTTCCCTTTACCTGGAAATCGAAGTACTAACTGGTGTAGATTTATTTCAATAAGCGAACCTTTTTCAAATATTTTCATCACATTCAGCGAAAAAACATTGAGACATGAGTATAAGATTGCTATAATTGGGATTATTTAGTCATATTGAAAGAAAGAATATTGAACGTCATATGATTACTCAGCGCTTCACAATTTAATTTAAAGTTATAAACCTTTAAAAAATGAATGGTCAGGAACCTGAAATACGCGCAAATATTAATATTAACAAATTATAACTTTATAAAGCTTAAATTATGAATTAAAATGATTAGAAATATTAGGAACGGTACACAATATAAAACTTAGTAACTTTTTTTAAGTTTATAATATTCGACATATTTTAAGATTATATTAAAAAATTATTGAAATATCGAAAACAAATAAAAACATGGCTTAAAAAGATCTAACAAATGAAAATGACAATAAAACATCCACGCATTTTATCGAAAGTTATAAAAGTTTTGTTACTTGTAATATGTTTTATCTGCCCCCTGGAATTAATGTTTAGAACCTTGTTCCCAAGGTTTGAAAAACATCCGATTGTTGTCTATTACTCGTATTTACCTGCTGGATTTTTTAATCCGGTGGACAGTCCATCTAGAAAGGCCCTCCTGGATGAAGTTACAGAATCATCAACCCATACTTTACTTGTAGTGTGTCCTGCGTTTACCCACGTTTCATCAAGGTAATAAATCTTCCTGTTTTGATTTCTCTATTTCCCAATTTTTGTTAAATAATCCCTCCTCCATAGCACAATTTCTTCTCTAACCAGTAGTAAACTATTACGACCCCGTTTTTTCCATTTGAAATTTAAATGCTTCAGTAACGCATGGAAAGTTGATCGTTTGAAATTTGGCAACGTTGTATCTCCATTTACCTCCTGCAGTACTTTATCTATAGTAGGTATTTCATTCCTAAAGAAGAGTTCATGCACTTTCCTCCTAATCGTATGCTTATCAGCTTCATCCAATGATTTAACAATACTTTTGCGATGTTTACTGGTCATTGGCTCAGAAAAGGTGTGATTTTTTTTGTATTGTCTTAACACATTAAACACTGATGCGCGACACACCCCAACTTTGTGAGAAACCTTCACAACAATTTCTTTGATGGTTGATGCCACGTTCTCCTCGCGCTCGATCTTATATATATTCAAAATGACCTCTTTCATTTCTGCACTCAGGTGTCTTTTTTTAGAGCGTTTCCTAGGTGGACTACAGGAGTTTACAACTTCATCGGCAGTATCTGTACTACTGGGCATTTTGCGCAAGCAGTTGATAACAATAACAATCAATAACAAGGTATAACAATAACAACGACAAACTCAACAACTTAATAAGATAACAAACGAAAACGTCCAAAGAAATATCAAATTGCAATGATGCACACGACATACGTAACACGTCTGAACCTGAATGTGACTCTGCCTTGATACGACTGCTCTGCCGCTCGGCATAGGCATTTAATTGCGAATTGACCAATGAGGGCTCCTGTTTTACGTCGAGACGGCGGCGTTAGCGTGAAAATCACCCGAACCTTTTGTTTACATCCGGTCTATCTCTTATCTGAATATACTGTAGTCTTCAGAACGGAGGATAAGGTCGAGGTTTTCGCTGATGCCATGGAAAAACAGTTCTCTTCCAACTATGATCTTGATAATGAGCTCGACGAGGAGCAGCACATCGTACGATCCGTCAGGAGATATTTCAGATGACTCTGCTTCAGAAGATTCGTCTGAGGCTCCACATAGCACATTAGCGGAACCCTCCGAGTTTCCACATTGCACAGCAGCGCAGCTCCTAAGTCATATTAAAGACCTCAAGGTGCGTAAAGCACCTGGGAGGATCAAATCACCAATGAGGCGTTGAAGCTGCTCTCGCCGAAAGCCCTGACATATTTGGTGACAATAATCAATGCGACGCTCAGAATCCAGTACTTCCCTGCTGGGTGGAAGACTGCTGAGGTCATCATGATTCCAAAGAAGGTGGGTTCGATATTTCCTCAGGATTACCGTCCCATAAGTCTGCTGTCAGCTGCTTCTAAGCTCGCCGAAAAGGTTATTTATCGTCACCTTGAGAATTTTTCGTCATATCACCATGTGATTCCTGTCGTTCAGTCAGGCTGGTGGAACATATAACCAGCATGAGTACTGGCATCTTGCTTTTGGATGTCTCAAAAGCCTTTGATAAGGTGTGGCACGCGGGCCTCATTTATAAACTAATCCAAAAGGGTTTTCCTTTTTGGCTTCTAAAATTACTTAAATCCTTTCTTGAAGGAAGGAAGTTTCGGATCAAAATTAACAATGTTTTGTCAACAACACGGCCAGTACGGACCGGTGTTCCTCAGGGTTTGGTCCTAGGACCAATCCTTTATTCGCTTTTTATCCATGATGTCCCTTGCACCAGCAACTGTGAAGTCTACCTCTATGCTGTCGACACTGCACTTGTCGCCCAGTCATGTACTGGTGATCTGGTTCACGATGGCTGATTCATTCGAAAACGCAGACTATTTATTGTACCAAAAAACGTCGCGGCCCCCCAGCAAAGGTCTCTGTAGACGGCAATCGTGTACCATGGACAAATTCTGCCAAGTACCTCGGTGTCACCCTTGATAAATAATAATGTTTCAAACGAGACACTACACAGAGAAATTGACATTCCTTACTTGAGGGATTATGTCAAACTTCAGGCGCAGCGACGTTATAGTCAAGCGGATTCGCACAGCAACCCTCTGTTGCGCGCTCAATGGACTACACAGTGGAGCAAGTTCGTCAACATTCAAGGCCACTGCTCGCACTGTAATAAAAAATTAGCGTGAACTTAAAATAACACTCCGACAAAACCGAATCAAAATTTGTTCAGTTCACCTCAAAATTAATCCGTGTACCAATTAAAAACGCCTAAATGTCTCCTCTTAATCTAAACACTTCTGTTTTTCTTTGCTCTTCTCCATTTTTCTTCTCTTTCCCTTTCTTTTTTTCCTTGACATTTTCTGGTTTCTGGGCAACCAGTACTGACAGATTCGACTAACGTACATTAGGCAGTGACTAATGGGACCGCCCAGACAAACAAATGACGAATAGTAGTACTCGAAAAAACTGCTGACAGGTGCTGTCATAGAATTTTTCGATCTAGAAACTAACGGGTGATTTATTATTATATTTTATTATTTAAATTGAAGTACCTCACCAGCTAGACCATGGAACAATGAAGATGTTATATCATGCACTTATTGAATATCGCCTGAATTATGCCATACTAGCTTGGGGTGGTGCTCTTACCAACCAAATTAAGAAGCTAGAAATAATCCAAAAACAATTTTTTAAAATTATTTTTAAACTACCAATTTTTTATCCACCTGATATGTTATATTCCCAAGCGAGACTACTCGATATTAGGCTTCTCTTTTCTACAATATTGTAATCAATGTATTCAAAAATAAAACAAACCACATTTCGTTGAACCACAAGTATGAAACAAGAAGGAAAGTCGAGGATATTAAAAGAACACCATTTACTACAAAAAATATATGTCAAAGATGCTTCAGTTAAATCTCCACTAGATTTTATAACTTAGTAGCAAGGCATATAAAATCCATTTCAAATAAAAATAGATTCAAAATTGAAATAAAAAAATTCCTGTTATGGGTGATTTTTTAAGAGGTATAGGATTTGAAAAAAAACCCAAAAATTTGAAAAAATGATTAAATCTTTATTTGAGTCGATAGAACGGTCGATATAATTTAATGTTTAAAAATTATTTCATGTAAATGTTGGCCGCGGCTCCGCTTTAGATGGCCCATGCGCCAGGTCCAATTTTGGCACAGTCTCTCCAACATATCGGCCGGTATCTCACGAATAAATGCTTCAATATTGGCTTCCAGTGCGTCAATCTTTGCTGGTTTATCCCTGTAGATATTAGCATTAACGTGGTCCCACAAGAAATAGTCCAACGGTGTTAAATCACACGATCTAGGCGGCAAATTGACGGGACCCAAACGTGAGATAAATTGTTCACCGAACTCGCCTCTCAATAGGGCCATTGTTTCGTGTGCGGTGTGGCATGTGGCACCGTCTTGTTGACACCACATGTCAGCCAAGTCCAGCTCTTCCATTTTGGGCAAAAAAAAGTTTGTTATCATCGCACGGAAGCGCTCGCCATTCACAGTTACGTTCCGGCCATTGTCGTCTTTGAAGAAGTACGGCCCGATGATGCCACCGGCCCATAATCCACGCCAAACAGTGATTTTTTTGGGATGCATTGGTAGCTCTTGCAATGCTTCTGGCTGGTCTTCATTTCAGATGCGGAAATTTTGCTTGTCAACGTACCCATTCAACCAGAAATGAGCTTCGTCGCTGAACACAATTTTTCGATAAAAATGCGGATCTTCCTCCAACTTTGCCAGCGCCCATTCACCAAATGGGAAGCGTAGGAGGTCGTGTGGCTTCAATTCTTGCACCAGCTGTATCTTATAAGGTTTTACACCCAAATCCTGTCGCGAAATTTTCCACGTAGTGGAGTAGCAGAGGCCCAATTGCTGCGAACGGCGGCGAATCGACATTTCACGGTCATCACTAACACTGGCGGATACAGCCGCAATATTTTCTTCAGTCCTCACTCTGCGTCTGCGTGTTGGTGGTTTAATGTCCAATAATGTAAACTGGGTTCGAAATTTAGTCACAAGCTTCCGAATAGCTCCCTCAGTAGGCCGACCAAATTGCCCATAAATTGGAAGCAGTGCTCGATGCACTCTCTTAACCGAGCATGAATTTTGATAGTAAAATTCAATAGTTTGCAAGCGTTGTTCGTTCGTAAGTCGATTCAAGGTTAAATTATAGACCAAACTGAACAAGTTTGACAATGACACAAGACACGATTCACGCGTCATCTGTCAAAAACAGTGTTGCCAAAAAGATACTAGCAAAAAAAATCACCCATTATTTGTAATTCAAAATTGCGCATTTGTTATTGGTAGAAAAGACGACGGAAATAGTCATAACAATCCACCTGAAATTACATGTTTCTGGGGCAATATAGACTCACTAAAAAGTATATTTTTTATGCTAGGTGGATCCAGTGCTACACAAAGAGTTCCTGGTCTGGCGCCAAAACCCAGTGCTAGATAAGGCAGACTGCTTCATTAGCCGAATGTACGACGAAGATATTCACCTGTGCCTATGCTTCAACAACAGCGACCTGTCAGGGAAAGTTGTTAAGGCAGTCGAATCCGGTACAATACTCATCGAAGCTGTTAGTGATAAGACTAAGGCGATGTTCCCCAAGTAAGTCAGGATATTCTAGTAGTAATCCCCCATGCTTCTCCGGCCAATAAAACTACATGTTTTGACAGATCTTCTTCACAGCAGTAAACGTTGTTGTGGTATGTTTGCAGTGCTGCCAGATCTATCGTTTTACGGTAGATCTACTGGTTTGACTTTCGAATGTCATTCTGGCGTTAATTTTTGGCTAAAAAGAAAAGCTGCCCATTCTAAAAATATAGACAACCCGCCAATCAGAGGGAACACTAAGTTTCCATTGTGCTATCAGCAGTGACGTACTATGTAAGGGTTTTGGTTTATATTAGAATTTTCTGTTTTTCAGGAAATGTGCGTTGCTCGAGGTACCAAGACTGTGCTTCTACAGAATGAATATAGGTGAAGCAGATACATGGTACAACATATCACAAATCTGTAGGAATAGGGTTGGTATATTTTTCTTATGAATTTTTAGCCATTCATCTTAATAACTCTTTCATTGAGGTGTATTTAATATTTGTATCTGCCACTACACAGTTACAATATTTATAGAGTTGTAACATGAAGAACCGATCATATACGAGGTCCCCCTAGAAATCAAAATTGACCTGTCTGAGCGTTTTTCCTAAAATGTACCAGGAGAGTAACAAATGGGGGTGCGACATTGTCGCTGGGGCCACCCTGTATATGAGCAACTGAAGAGCATATTCTGTTTACAAAACGTATACGACTTTCTCACGTAATGATAAAAAAGCTCGTAAAATGAAGCATATATACGTGTACTATCGAGGCTAAACAAATGGTGTATTTATATGTAATTTTCCTTGGTTTCAGATAATTGCCGTCTGTGATTTTTTAAACTATTTGAAGTACATTGAGCGAGGATTGGTCAAGAGTTCGGGTAGGTACTGCGAAGTGTGTGCATAGAGTAAATATTTGCCGTATTGTGGTTACGTAGAGAGGGCGTTAATTGCCTCAAAATGATGGCATCGATTCTGATGGGTTTTGCCGTTTATTAACTAAATATTTGTTCTGCAATAAACCAATAAATGGAATTATTATCACATTTGAAACACGCCATGGCCTCGTTGCAGCTGTGTGATTTTTATTATGGTTTTTGCTACTATGTTTTAGTGTTTTCCTTTATTTTCACTTTTTGGTAGAAAACCACTTCGTCATAGAGAATAGTGTTTTACGTCGTAATTATCTGTATCGAAGGAGCCTCTAGAAGTTCTCTTTACAGACAGTATGCTACCACTAATATTATACAAAGTGGGCCATTAAGATGGGCGGATTTTAAAAAATCATAGAAAAAAGTACAAAGCGTAGGGAAGATAATTTATATTTTTGATAGACACATGGGAATTTTATTTTTTTAAAAGAACGTCATTGATATCCATCGAGATGTACGCACTCCTCGAATCTCGACTTCAAATTAGTGAAAAGTCCCTGGCACATCGCTAGTGGGATTTTTAAACAATCATAGAAAACAAACTACAAAGCGTAGCAAATATAATTTATATTTTTAATAGACACCTCCGATTTTTATTTTTTTAAAATAACCTCACTGAGATGTGAGGCATCGAGACGTACGCACTCCTCGAATCTCAACTTCAAATTAGTGAAAAGTTCCTGGCACATCGCTCGTGGGATTTTTAAAAAATCATAGAAAAAAAACTACAAAGCGTAGCAAAGACAATTTATATTTTTAATAAAGTAGACACCTCCGAATTTTATTTTTTTAAAATAACCTCACTGAGATGTGAGGCATCGAGTCGTACGCACTCCTCGAATCTCGACTTCAAATTAGTGAAAAGTCCCTGTCACATCGCTAGTGGGATTTTTAAAAAATCATAGGAAAAAAACTACAAAGCGTAGCAAAGATAATTTATATTTTTAATAAAGTAGACACCTCCGAATTTTATTTTTTTAAAATAACTTCACTGAGATGTGAGGCATCGAGACGTACGCACTCCTCGAATCTCGACTTCAAATTAGTGAAAAGTGGGATTTTTGAAAAATCATAGAAAAAAACTACAAAGCGTAGCAAAGATAATTTATATTTTTAATAAAGTAGACACCTCCGAATTTTATTTTTTTAAAATAACCTCACTGAGATGTGAGGCATCGAGACGTACGCACTCCTCGAATCTCGACTTCAAATTAGTGAAAAGTCCCTGGCACATCGCTAGTGGGATTTTTAAAAAAATCATAGGAAAAAAACTACAAAGCGTAGCAAAGATAATTTATATTTTTAATAAAGTAGACACCTCCGAATTTTATTTTTTTAAAATAACTTCACTGAGATGTGAGGCATCGAGACGTACGCACTCCTCGAATCTCGACTTCAAATTAGTGAAAAGTGGGATTTTTGAAAAATCATAGAAAAAAAAAAACTAAAAAGCGTAGCAAAGATAATTTATATTTTTAATAAAGTAGACACCTCCGAATTTTATTTTTTTAAAATAACTTCACTGAGATGTGAGGCATCGAGACGTACGCACTCCTCGAATCTCGACTTCAAATTAGTGAAAAGTCTCTGGCACATCGCTCGTGGGATTTTTGAAAAATCATAGGAAAAAAACTACAAAGCGTAGCAAAGATAATTTATATTTTTAATAAAGTAGACACCTCCGAATTTTATTTTTTTAAAATAACTTCACTGAGATGTGAGGCATCGAGACGTACGCACTCCTCGAATCTCGACTTCAAATTAGTGAAAAGTCCCTGGCACATCGCTCGTGGGATTTTCAAAAAATCATAGAAAACAAACTACAAAGCGTAGCAAAGATAATTTATATTTTTAATAAAGTAGACACCTCCGAATTGTATTTTTTTAAAATAACTTCACTGAGATGTGAGGCATCGAGACGTACGCACTCCTCGAATCTCGACTTCAAATTAGTGAAAAGTCCCTGTCACATCGCTAGTGGGATTTTTAAAAAATCATAGGAAAAAAACTACAAAGCGTAGCAAAGATAATTTATATTTTTAATAAAGTAGACACCTCCGAATTTTATTTTTTTAAAATAACTTCACTGAGATGTGAGGCATCGAGACGTACGCACTCCTCGAATCTCGACTTCAAATTAGTGAAAAGTGGGATTTTTGAAAAATCATAGAAAAAAAAACTAAAAAGCGTAGCAAAGATAATTTATATTTTTAATAAAGTAGACACCTCCGAATTTTATTTTTTTAAAATAACTTCACTGAGATGTGAGGCATCGAGACGTACGCACTCCTCGAATCTCGACTTCAAATTAGTGAAAAGTCTCTGGCACATCGCTCGTGGGATTTTTGAAAAATCATAGGAAAAAAACTACAAAGCGTAGCAAAGATAATTTATATTTTTAATAAAGTAGACACCTCCGAATTTTATTTTTTTAAAATAACTTCACTGAGATTTGAGGCATCGAGACGTACGCACTCCTCGAATCTCGACTTCAAATTAGTGAAAAGTCCCTGGCACATCGCTCGTGGGATTTTTAAAAAATCATAGGAAAAAAATACAAAGCGTAGCAAAGATAATTTATATTTTTAATAAAGTAGACACCTCCGATTTTTATTTTTTTAAAATAACCTCACTGAGATGTGAGGCATCGAGACGTACGCACTCCTCGAATCTCGACTTCAAATTAGTGAAAAGTCCCTGTCACATCGCTAGTGGGATTTTTAAAAAATCATAGGAAAAAAAAACTACAAAGCGTAGCAAAGATAGTTTATATTTTTAATAAAGTAGACACATGGGAGTTTTATTTTTCTAAAATAACATCACTGAGATGTGAGCCATCGAGACGTACGCACTCCTCGAATCTCGACTTCAAATTAGTGAAAAGTCCCTGTCACATCGCTAGTGGGATTTTTAAAAAATCATAGGAAAAAAAACTACAAAGCGTAGCAAAGATAATTTATATTTTTAATAAAGAGGACAGATAGAAATTTTATTTTTTTAAAATAACCTCACTGAGATGTGAGCCATCGAGACGTACGCACTCCTCGAATCTCGACTTCAAATTCGCGGAAACTCGCTGGCACAACACTCGTGGGATAGTGGACATCTCCTCGGAAATTTTGTGCTTGAGCTGGACAATCGTCGTCGGTTTATTGGCGTAAACGCGGCTCTTGAGGTATCCCCAGAGAAAAAAATCTGATCTGAACATTTTCAAATTAAATTTACTTTATTGTTTTCTTTTTCAGTTCATGACGTATACTGGGAGATCGTTCGCCTACGAAAGAACATGGTCCTAGCTCGATTAGGATTAGCACTATCATCATGAATTCATCAAATCTCACCTTATTTCATGTGCCAAAACTCATTTATATTTTATAAGATCTGATAAAAAGTCAAACCAAAGATTATTTTAAGTTTTTTTCAAAATTATCTTTTCAAGATTGGTAATACTCTATAAGCTGTCTTTTAGGTACAAAATATCTAGCCAATCTCCAATGTGACCTATTTTAATTTTTCACTGAATCATATTTTTTTCGACAAAGTAAGCAATCCATAGGGTTTGAGGAAACGATATCTGAGGATTCAGTGTTAACCTTTCTTTCTCCGTTTATTTTAAATATTTTTAATTCTCTCTGAAATGTGTACATATGATTTTTAGATATTCTATTGTAACGATTGTTGTATATAGGATGTGAGATTACCCTTTAGAACCCAACAACAAAATCATTTTTTATTTTTGGAAATTATACTAGGATCTAATCTGAATGCCACGTGGCTTACATCTTTCAGGATCTTCCACTTCCTCATGTTTCACACGAGGCTGTTAATAAAATTGAGTTAGTTGTTAAAATTGTAATAATGTTTTCATATCCATGCTAAGATTTAGTTCCTAGTAATACTTAAATACAGAGGAGTACAAAGAATTGACTCCTGAAAGTTTGTTCTCTGTTTACATCAAGCTGTTTATTTTCTTCAACAGTACGTACTAGAAAGAATACTGAAAGCTAATTAAAATTCATTACAATATCAATTAAAAACTACTAATATAGATATTATAATCGACATCAATATCATTTGTAGCACGTCCTGATGAAATGAGACACAATTTTGAAAGCGTGACAACGAGAGAACAAACTTTCTTGGTGGTTTGAATTCTTGCACGTGCCTGCTTCCTTGAGAACTTGTACTTTGTATCTTAAAAAGTCCGCCAAGGCTTCCTTCCTCTCTCAGAGAAGTACTACACATCCAATACCTAATGTATATTAAGAATGTTATTAAATTTAGAGAAATAAAAACAAATTCAAATCAGAGTGTTATCTCCTTATTCATATTTCATCCTAAACCAGTACTAGAGCAATATTGTTATGACGTTTCAAATGAGAGCTACCGTACTCTAGGCTACTGGTACGGCCCGCTAGTTTTCATCCATTTTTCAAGTAGCGAGCGCTAAAAACCACTCCCGCAGATTATGTCTGCGTCTAACGCTGCTGAACGGTTTCTGATTATACAAGGTGGTCCCCGGGAGCGGGAGTTTTGAATACTTTATGACTCTAAAGGCAATTTATTTTAAATAAATTACAGTATAACAAACTAGTAATATGCCATTTTTATTTCTTAAAAATAATACCGCGTAAATGCCCTCCCCTTCTCTGTATGCACTCTTGAATTCTTCCATGGAAATTCGCCATAACACGATGCAACGTATCCACAGGAATCTTAGCAATTTCTTCAATAATGTGTCTTTTAAGCTCCTGATGGTTCTGAACACCTTTTGTATTATTTTATTCATATATTTCTCAATAGATACAAGATCCAATTACAGAGAAACACTGTACAAGTGTTGAAAAGACACACATACAAAAAATAATATCATGGATTGATGATACTAAAAAAATCCTATGTGTTAAGCCGTTAAGCCTGGCGACCCTGGCGGCCACTCAATGTCTCCTCGCCTGGACATATGTTGCGGGAACAATCTTTGCAAGGAACTTAATGACGCTCTCGTGGTCTGTGAAGTAGCACCATCTTGGTGTAACCACGTTTATTATGTGGAAATCTAAAATGAATATTTCAGCCGCAGTAAAGAATCAACGTTGGCGGATTTTGGTTCTTGACATCCTTTACGATCGGTTACGATGCCTAGAGTACGGAGACCTGTACGATTTCGTCAACTTAGCGAGTTTGATAGGGGCCGTATAGTGGGACTTCGGGAAGCTGGACTTTCTTTTCGGGCAATTGCAGTTAGAGTGCAAAGAAGTGTAGACACTGTGGTTAGGTGTTGTCAGGCATGGCTTCGAGAAGGCCGTACGCAAAGAGCAAGGGGCACTGGACGCCGCCGTAGAACAACAGACCGTGAAGATCGCCGCCTAAGATTATTGGCCTTAAGGGACCGTTTCTCCACTACCAGGTCCATTGCAAAATAAAACCATTCAAACTGGGTGTTCGGATTTATATGTCACTTAGTATACAATAATGCTCACTACAATGTAAACAAAATTTCAAATTTGAAATGTGAATTTTCCCACTGGACACCCGTATCTAAAAAATATAAGATACAAAAGAGTAGTGTTTTATTTTTCGAATAAGAATTAGGTTTTGAAACCCATCCATCAATTTCCAAATTTGAAGTTTGACCGAAGGTCGGCACGGGTTATCGTTTCCCAATCGCAATATGTATTTTTTGAGTTGTTAGAGACAAATGGCAAAAAATTAGAGCGTAAATTCGAACAAAAATTTGTTTGTGCTCATAGGCTGGACACCCAACCGTACTCTATAAAAAAAGTTCCAAAAAAACAATCACATGATCAATGAACGCCACCTACCTTATAACTGATTATCAGCAGTCTAGTCTAGTAAACTAAGTCAACGTCAAAAGTCATGCACATGCGCACATTTATACACAAGGTAGACTACAAGGTCGAGCAAATTCGCAAGCACACAATGCCTCGCACTGTGAACAAAATTAAATCGTGCTACTTCAGGTCCAACCAAAAGTATAATTTTTCTTCAACAACCAATCTATAAATTAATTTCAGGATCAAATTAAAATTGCCGATCACTAATTAGCAATGCCAAGGCATCCCTCAAATTGACGCACTTCTTACTTCTTTGCTCTCCCTCCTTCCTTCCTTTCTTTCTCTCCGACTTTGTGTGGTATCCGGGCAACCAAACCTGATTTACAAGACTTTAACCAAGAGCAAAGGTCATACGGATCGTTCTAACAGACAATGACGAATAGAATTTAAACCACTCATGAGCTCAAAAGGTTGCTGAAAATAATTGTTCCTTTTCATGTTAACAAAAAATATATTTCTTGGAGCATGGGCTTTCTTAGTACAAAAGGTGAAAGAAATAAGTTAAAGATGACTTACAAAACATTTATTTCACATTTTTTCAACTGGTTTAAGTCCAAGTATATGGAAGCACTTCTCCATGATCATCGCTGTAGCTTCCGCCAGAAGAATCCTGCCGTAATTCACCTTCACTATATCCCCGGAGGAATCCTTCTCGACGCAATAGCAGCTGTCGTAGAACTCGGTGAACGTAGTCGCTATCTCGTACACGTACTCGCAGATGTGGTGCGGGTACAAATCGTTCAGCGTTTTCAGAATTTCATCGGGGAATCTTAGCAAGACTTTTCCCAGTTTCCATTCTTTCTCGTGTTCCAGCGAGATGTTCTCCTTTTTGCTGAGCTCCTTGATTTTCTCCGGCGTGAAGTTGGCTGTCCTCGCTATCGACCTGATTCTGGTAAACGCGTAGAGTAGGTAAACCGCGGTGTTGCCCTTATCTTCTAGCATTTTGTCGAACGAGAAGATGTACTCGTGGTTGCGATTGTGAGAGAGATCGGCGTATTTAATGCAACCGTAAGCAACCGACTCTTGGGCTCGTTTCAACTCGTCAGGCGTGAGCACCTGGAAGAGCAAACTTTGTAAAACTGTTTTGCGACTATAGATATTACTACCTTTGGTGCAAAAATGTGTTAAGCCAGATTTTATAAATATAACGGCATTTAATTAATGACTAAAAGGAAAAATCCAACTCATTGACGTTCAAGGATTCTAAATTAAAAAGATACTATAATTATAAAAAGTTTATGATTACTGTAAGTGAAAATGATTGGTTAGAATACACAATATCAAGAAACCAATCAGTAGCAGTTCTACGAAATGAAAATAAGAAATATTACAATGCCAAAATTGATCAGAGTAAAAATAATAGCAAACATATGTGGAAAACGTTGATAGATATTGTTTTTCCTATTAGAAAAAGTACATTATCTAAAATGAAATTCGACGATGGGGTAATAACAAATGAAGAAATAATAGCAGATCGAATGAATACCTTTTCAAAGAAAGTTTCAACGACATTGTAAAATCAAGTATTGACGGGGATCCCAACCAATGTCCCATTAGCTCAGATTATAATGCATCATTCAGTGAGTTTAGAACCATAAACATTAATCGTCTCAAGAAGATTATATCAAAAATTAAATCAAATCAAAATAAGAGTGAGATTTTGTCTAAAAGTGTGCTCATGAATGTTTTGATATCATTAGAGCAAGAATATTAATCCTGATAAATTATTGTTGAAAATATGGCGAATTTCCAACAAAACTGAAGTGTTCTACCATAACTCCTGTTTCTAAAGTTAATTTGAGTTGTACACCAATATGCGGCCAATAAATGTTCTGCCAGATGTTGAAAAAGTTTTTGAAGAAATTATTTACGAAAAGATCATCGAATTGAGGGAAATAACATTTTAACCAAATTTCAAGCTGGATTCAGGAAGAAACGGCAACACAAATGGTTTTAAAGGACTGGAGGAGATGCATGGACAATTGGAAACATACAGTATCAGTGTTTTTGGACTTCAAAAGGGCGTTTGAGACTATTGACAGGGATACATTACTTATAAAATTGCATCACTACGGATTTAAAGGATCTGTATTCAAAATTCTACAAAACTTTTAATTGATAGAAGTCAAAAATCCAAAATTGGATCTACATTATCAAGATTAAAAAATATTTCTGTTGGTATACCACAAGGTAGTAAGCTAGGTCCACTATTTATTTTATACATTAATGACATTTGTAATATTTTAGATTATTGTAAACTTCAGATATTTGCAGGTGATACATTAATATACATATCAGATGAAAATATAGACACTGCTTTAAAAATGCTAAATTTTGACTTGTCAAAAATCATAAATTGGTTAAATATAAATAAACTAAAATTGAATACTTCTAAAACAAAATGTACGCTAATAGGGAAATACCTAAATGAAAATACTATCTCAGTTAGGATAAATGGATAAATAATAGAAAATGTTGAATCAATTAAATATTTAGGTATATATATTGATAGTAAACTAAAGTTTGAGGATCACTATTATTTCAAAAATTGATAAAAAAACAAATTACTTTTATAGGGCTTCTCGTAGTCTTGGTACCTATTCCAAGAAAATAGTTTATAATACAATTATTCTACCGCATTTACTATATATATTGTTCAACTATCTTTTCACTGCCAATGAAGCTGTATTCTCAAAATTACAAGTCTTGCAAAATAAAGCTATGAGAATAATATTGAATAAAAATAAGTACACCAAAATAAAATCTATGTTACAAGAATTGCAGTGGTTGAATATAAAAAATTTCATATCATATTTGGTTCTTATTTTCATATTTAAAATAAAAAACCATCTTTTGCCAGAACATTTAGAACACTACATAGAATTGAATAATCATTACTACAATTATTATACAAGAGGAAGTATAGATTTTCATTTACAAAATTGCAATAGTAATATAACTAGCAAATAAATATTTGGGAAGGGATTACTTGAATTTAATAAACTAAATAATGATATAAAGTCTACTTGTAATTTAAAGATATTTAAAAGAAAATTACAGTAATATTTCATGGACAATGAAAATTCTTAGAGATGCAAATTTTGTTTTTTGTTATGTAATTGTTTAGTTTTTTAGAAGAATGTAATTGTAGCAATCATGCTGAATAAATCTTAAACAACAACAACTTATAAGCGTTTTCTTTCAATTTTCATTTCTTTATTGTATCAAAATATGTTAATTTAGATCAATTGACAATATAAAAATTTATCAGTTTGAATTACTGTAACTATTTTTTTGACCTCAAATCAAATTCTGTGACAAAACCTTAAATTTTTATACTTTGACACTTGTATAACAATTATTGCACATTGCACAAGGTTTTCATCTGTTTTGCTGCTCCAAGATTGTGTACATGGTCTTGAAAATGGTAAGAGCAAAACAATTATCGAAAAAAAAAACCGTAGTGAGATAGTAATTTTCAGTGAAACCGGGCATTCGCAGCGAAAAATTGCACAAATACGAGGCTTGTTCAAAAAGTACCCGTGTTTGACGACAGAGGGCGTTCCTGAGGGAAGTTGGTGTTATCATCGTGTGCTACCATCTATCAAACGACGGCACAACAAATTTCAGACTGATTCATCGGTTAGTGTGTATGGTTATTTTCGATGGAAAAAGAGCAGTATCGTTCGGTAATTCGCCTTTTGTTTTTGGACGGGAAAAAATGCGAGGAGATAAAAGCAAAGTCGGATGCTGGTTATGGGGACACTTCGCCATCCATGACCACATTTAGATATTGGTTCAACGAATTTAAATGTGGGCGAACATCCGTGTTTGATGAGGTGCGACCAGGACGTGGTTACCGAGGAAATCATTCAAAAAGTCCACGATACGATTCTCGCTGATCGACGAACGAAAGTGAGCGAAGAAGCAGGATATTTTACACGATAAGTTGGAGATGAAAAAATTGTCGACCGGATGGGTGCCGCGATTGCTCACGATGGACAACAAGCGAATGCGGCTGGTAACTTCAAAGCAGTGTTTAGAGCAATTTAAGCGAAATCCGAAGGAGTTTTTGCAACGAGTTATCACCGTTGATGAAACCTGGATTCCGAATTGATTTTTTGGAATAAGGAAGAACGATCACTACAGTGAGTTACTGGACCGCTTGGACAAAAAACTGAAGGAGACACGGCCACATTTGGCGAAAAAGAAAGTGCTGTTTCACCGCGATAACGCACCAGCACATTCATCCGGAGTTGTTACCGCGAATCTGCATGAATTGCGTTATGACGTGTATTCACCCGATCTGGCCCCATGCGACTTTTTCTTGTTCACTAACATGAAAAAAAGCTCGCGGGAAAAAAATTAGCTCAAACGAGGAAGTCATCGCCGAGACAGAGGCGTATTTTGGAGAGTTCGACAAATCCTATTTTTTTTGTACGGGTTAAAAAAAATGACAGGAATGTTGTGAAAAGTGTGTATTTCTAAAAGGGGACTCCGTAGAAAAATAAAAAAGTTGTCTTAGTTTCTAACACCGGTACTTATTGAACAGCCCTCGTATTGGGAGTTTCACAGACAGGAGTGCGGACAGCATTCGCTGAAACCAAATCGTTTTCCGACAGGAAACGCTCGGACAGACCCAGAGAAAGACGACGAAAAGTGATCATTGGCTTATACAAGTGTTAAGTAAGCGGTCTAGACTCAAAACAGTGCGAAATATTGCAACCGAGATCAGTCAAACGCTATCGAAGCCGATCTCTGAAACAACGGTCACACGTCGGTTTGTTTGAATGTGTCGCTGATAAAAAAAACTATTGTTGCGATCAATAAATGTTCGTAAACGACTCAAATGGGCAAAAGAACACAAAAATTGGTACATCGAACAATGGAAACAGGTGTTATGGACCGAAGAGTCCAAATCTGAAATTTTTGCTGGCAAACGGCGAACATACGAGGGATGTTTTTTAAGTTTTGCATATCGAAATAAAACAACACGGTAGGTAGTTTTAAATGACTTTATTGTTTTTCGAAGTATTCTTCACGAAGATTAATACACATCTGCATGATCTCGTACCAATTTTCGAAGCACTTATTTCACTCGTTTGCTGGCAGATCCAAAACGGCATTTTTGAATGCGTCAACGGCTTCTTCTGGTGACTGGAACCTCTGACCACGCAGTCTGTTTTTAATTTTCGGGAAAGTAAAGAAATCGTTAGAACTTAGATCGGGGCTATATGGAGGATGGTCAAATAATTCCACGTTTTCTTCCGTTAAATACTGCCTTGTTTTTTGGGCTGTGTGCGAGCTTGCATTGTCTTGGTGGAGGATGATTCTTCTTTGAGGTCTTTGAGATCTTCAAGGACGCCTCAATCTCGTGATTTGTCACATGTCTATCTTCAATGACGAGTTTGCGCACAGCATCGACGTTTTCCTGGGTGACTGCTGTTTTTGGCGCACCCACCCTGGGATCGTCCCTAAGACTCACCCGTCCACGTTTGAAGTCTCCCTATCAACGGGAAATTGTCGACTGATGTGGCGCTTCGTTGCCGAAAACAGACAGTAACTCAGTAAGGCATTCTTGTTGCGATAATTGTCTCTGAAAGTTGCAATAAATTATGGCGCGAAAATGTTCTCGGTTGAGTTCCATTTTTCTAATGACTTGGTGACACTATTGTTGTGAAACTTTGAATTTAGGTTTACTAATGAGTGGGGTTAAGATTCAGTACTGACGTTCGATCCGCGCGGCCTACTATGTTTCTATATGCAAAACTTAAAAGACATCCCTCGTACTGCCGCAGAAAATATCATGAACGACATGAAATGTGTGACAACAGTTAAATTTGGTGATGGCAGCGTGATGGTTTGGAGGTGATTTTGCTACGATGGTGTCGGCGCTTGGTGCAAATCGATGGGAAAATGCGGAAAGAAGACTATCACCGGATACTTCAGCGGAGCGCTATTCCATCTATCATCGATTTGATAGGGGAAGGATTTGTGTTCCGGAAAGATAACGACCCTAAACATACATCAAAACTTTGTACGAATTATTCAAGATCAAAGGAAGCTGCATGCGCTCTTGAATCGTTGGAATGGCCACCACAATCGCCGGATGCAAATCCTATCGAACTGTTGTGGGATGAGCTGCGTCCAACTAGCGAGTCTCACTTGTGGCAATGTCTTCAGCAGGCCTGGTAACGATTGCGACCAGGAATACTGCAGAAATTGACGGAGAGAATGCCCAGAATTTGTAGGGCAAGCACCAAATCGAAAGGCCATCATATAGACTAAAAACGGCTGGATTGATTTTTTCATTTGTTTACTCAAAAATATCACAAGTAAATATATGAAACTCATTTATAAAAATAAACAATGTTATATAAAACGGTCTGTGAACGAGAATTAAAAAGATAGATAACAAAAATTATTCTAAAAGACTCCAAACCTGTACCATTAATATCTAAATTTAAATCAAACTCCATGTTATATTAATGAAATACCTGAAACGTAACAAAATGATAAAGAACGTTATCTCACCTTGTCTCTCCCTTTTTCCTTTAGCTTATCTAACGCCTTCTCTAACCCTTTGTCCAGTAGATCTACCAGTCGTATCGAATCTCCTGACCTAGTTTTAAATTTCTTTTTGTCTTCTCCTAATACCACGCCGAATCCTACAAAGTCCACTCGATGTTTTTTCGGATCTAGGATTCCAGCTTTTTTGGCACAGGCAAACAATATTTGGAAGTGTGTAGCCTGACCTGAGTCCACCACGTAAATTACCCAGTCGGCTTTCTCCTCTTGCAACCTATTGGCGAAAAATTGATGGATAACACACAAACAAATCTTGCGAGCTTAAACCGTATAGCCAAAAGAGATTCTAACAGCGAGTGTCTAGATACTATAGTTGTAGTCACCGTTCTTCGCGGGTCAAAGTGTCCCAGAAGTCGACGTCAAGCCGAAACCGGGTGATAGGCAAAGTCACAACAGCTATCAAAAAATATTTAAAAAAATTTTATGTATGTGTTTTGAAAATTATAGGTCTTTGAAAAAGATATAGAAATTTCACACCCTACGGCAGTCTGTCAACTCCTGTTACTACAAATATTAACTATTTTTAGATTTTATTTTTACAATGTCATGATGAATAATGCATCTTCAAACTAGTGTCTCAACCTTACTGCCAACTTTTCTCGTTCAGGAAAAATTGCCACTTATTTCCCAACCAAGTATTCCAAAGTAAAACTTTGCTCAAATTTAACTGGCTGTACTGGAAAAAAATGTACTACGAGAGTTTGGCAAGTAACCTTAAAAGTTGGCGCATTTAATAACGATTCCAAAATGGTATAACCTTTAGAAGATTACTCGTTAACTCATGCACAATTTTTATTTGAAAAAAACTGATGAACATTTTTCAAAATTTCCTAATTAAACAGCGATTATGAAAACGCACAAGGACCCTTAAGGATAACTGTTTGCACAACAGTGGGCGTCAAAATGCTGCTGATGATGATTTACCTTTACAGCAAATGCTCAAACTGTTTTCCTTCAGCCGCAATACACGCTCGACATCTTAAAAAAGATCGGGTTATTAAACGAGCGAATCCACGGTTATTCACAAACTCAGCTGCTTCCAATAGTCTTTGCCGTAGCTCAGCTACATTTTGAATCGGCTTGAAATACACTTTTTCTTTTACAGTTCCCCAGTAAACAAAATCTAAAGGATTCAAATCAGGTGATCGGGCTGGCCACGGTATTGTACCAGACCGCCTTATCCATCTGCCTGGAAAGTTTTGATCGAGATACTCTCTCACTGCGAGTGCATAGTGCGCTGGGCAGCCATGATGCTGAAACCACATGTCCCTGTAAATACTCAGTGGCACGTCCTCCAATAAATTTTCTAAATGATTTTGCAAAAAACCTAAATAAACCTCAGCAATCAAAGTCTCTGGGAACTCAAACGGACCGATTATTTTACCATCTAAAATTCCTGTCCAATGGTTTATCTTGAAGCGATATTGAGATTTATCTTCTCTCATCAAATGTGGGTTTGCTACGTGCCACACGTGTAAGTTATGCAGGTTCATGTACCCATCTTTCTTAAATGTGGTCTCATCCGACCATAAAATTTTTTCAAAGAACTGTGGATCTTTCCTGTGTCTTTCTAACATTGTGCGTCAAAAAGCAACTCGGGGCTCATAATCCCGGGCAGGAGAGGTTGATCACGCTGTATGTGGTATGGATGAAGCACATCACTTATTTGCTATTACACACTTTGATGCCGATCAGTACTCCTTCGTTTACTGCGTATCTTTACATGTTCGTGCTTGTTGATTTCGTACTGTTACTAATTTTGGATTCGTGAACTGGACTGTTGATCGCTTGTGATTTGGATTTGGACTGTTTAATTGCTCTTCAAAACAACATTTGCTTTCCTTAGACTATCTTTGATAGTGTGATTGTGCAGTGCCGCTATGTCCGTGTACACCGTACAAGAATATGCTAACATGCACCTTATTTATGGGGAATGCAGATGCAACGCTAGTGCTGCAGCGAGACTTTACTGTGAGAGGTACCCGAATGCAGCTCGTCATCCAGATCATCGAGTGTTCACAAATGTGCACCGCTTACTGTTCTCAGAGGGCCAACTACCAAACCAATCACACGGTGAGGGAAGATCTTTCCTTCCTTACGAAGACGTGGTGCTAGGAGCTGTCGAAGAAGACCCGAGTACTTCAGTGCGTGCAATAGAACTAAAAACAGGTGTGCCCAAAAGTACAGCCCATAGAATCTTGCAAAAAAACGTGCTCCATCCCTACCACGTACAGCGTGTTCAAGCTCTTCTGCCCCGGGATTATGAGCCCCGAGTTGCTTTTTGTCGCACAATGTTAGGAAGACACAGGGAAGATCCACGGTTCTTTGAAAAAATTTTATGGTCAGATGAGACCACATTTAAGAAAGATGGGTACATGAACCTGCATAACTTACACGAGTGGCACGTAGCAAACCCACATTTGATGAGAGAAGATAAATCTCAATATCGCTTCAAGATAAACCATTGCACAGGAATTTTAAATGGTAAAATAATCGGTCCGTTTGAGTTCCCAGAGACTTTGACTGCTGAGGTTTATTTAGGTTTTTTGCAAAATCATTTAGAAAATTTATTGGAGGACGTGCCACCGAGTATTTACAGCGACATGTGGTTTCAGCATGACGGCTGTCCAGCGCACTATGCACTCTCAGTGAGAGAGTATCTCGATCAAAACTTTCCAGGCAGATGGATAAGGCGGTCTGGTAGAATACCGTGGCCAGCCCGGTCACCAGATTTGAATCCGTTAGATTTTTTTTACTGTAAAAGAAATAGTGTATTTCAAGCCGATTCAAAATGTAGCTGAGCTACGGCAAACTATTGGAAGCAGCTGAGTTGGTTAATAACCGTGGATTCGCTCGTTTAATAACCCGATCTTTTTTAAGAAGATGTCGAGCGTGTATTGCGGCTGAAGGAAAACAGTTTGAGCATTTGCTGTAAAGGTAAATCATCATCAGCAGCATTTTGACGCCCTCTGTTGTGCAAACAGTTATCCTTAAGGGTCCTTGTGCGTTTTCATAATCGCTGTTTAATTAGGAAATTTTGAAAAATTTTCATCAGTTTTTCTTCAAATAAAAATTGTACATAAGTTAACGAGTAATCTTCTAAGTGTTATACCATTTTGGAATCCTTATTAAATGCGCCAACTTTTAAGGTTACTTGCGAAACTCTCGTAGTACATTTTTTTCCAGTACAGCCTGTTAAAGTTGAGCAAAGTTTTACTTTGGAATACTTGGTTGGGAAATAAGTGGCAATTTTTCCTGAACGAGAAAAGTTGGCAGTAAGGTTGAGACACCAGTTTGAAGATGCATTATTCATCATTACATTGTAAAAATAAAATCCAAAAAAAGTTAATTTTTGACAGACTGCCGTAGGGTGTGAAATTTCAAAGACCTATAATTTTCAAAACACATACATAAAATTTTTTTAAATATTTTTCTGATAGCTGCTATGACTTTGCCTAACACCCGGTTTCGGCTTGACGTCGACTTCTGGGACACCCTGTATATCTCCATCTCGCTCATACATACACATGCAACCTACCCCTGTATGTGAACGTTTGTTCGGTAAGTTCAAAGAAATACGTTTTTTAGTTGTGTCTTCGTCTCGAAAACTTTGTCGTTACGTATGAGTGCCCTTCAATCATAGTCAAAGTTCCAACCAAGATTTGGATTTACCTGTGCTTAATCGCCGCCATATCGGAACTATCATAAGTGAATCCACCATCTGATTTCACTATTGTGAACGGGACAGTAGTGGACTCGTCGCCCCACATGATCTTCCGTCCATCATCATTTTCCAAGAAACCGGCCTCTTCAAGTTCTTTCACGATTTTCTCCGTTCGTGTTTGGTAGAAAGATTCACCTCTTTCTTTCAGCGTTATGTCTAACCGATCATAAATTTTCTGGAACTCTGCCAAAAAAATAAATCAATTACTATTCTATTCCTGTGTGTGGACAACAATAAATTATTATTATTATACATTATAAGAGTGCTGAACCGTATTGACAGCTGAACGGACACGCGTTATAACCATGCTATATAAATTTCATAAACCCGAAGATGCAACCACCTTTCCTAGAAATAAATTGTTTAGAGTTTATAGCGTTTGCTGAACTCTGCTTTTATGTATAAAATAATAATAATAAATCATCATGCGATTATGTGATTGAATGATTGAAGTTTATAACTATGCTATATGAATTTTATAAATCTAAAAGTGCACCCACCTTTTCTGGAAACATCACAAATCAGCTTCCACGCCTTTATGTGTTTAGGTTCAAACGACTGCAGTTTCACAACGCTGTCATACGCACGTTTCTTGAATTCTTCATCCTCGTCAAATCGTTCCTTAGCTTCTTTATAGAACGACTGCAGATCGCTGATCGGTGGCATTTTTTCCAAGTGATCCGGAAACCGGTCTTGCAGATGGGCGATCAGCATTCCAAACTGTGTGCCCCAGTCACCAATGTGATTAATACGATGCACCTGTTATAAAAGAATAACCATCAGGCACCGCTCTTCCAAATGCAAGAGTAAGAGTCGAGTTCAAGGTCAAATTTGGACACTGCGTCCTACTGATAAAAACTCATCCCGAAGCAGAGACTGGCATCGAACTCTAGCGACAATTTTAGCGTATTTTACCAGTATCCCCGTTTTACATTGACAGGTAAAACAGCAATTTGATGACAAATACATCCGCGAAGTTTCCCGTGGATTTCTTCAAGAGATTAGAACTGGTTCAATATGGTTTTTATTCATGAGAACCACCTCAAAATCTTAACCACATTACAATGAAAAAGCATACTGTTTCTAGCAAGAATTCGTTGTGTGGTTGGCAGAAATGTGTACTGACAGATAATCCATGAATTTGTCTACCTTGAAGAAATCCATCTGAATGTCCTGAAGAAATTTTTGACGAAATACGGGTTTAATATCCGTTTTCCGCTCAGCAAAAGCAAGAGAAATGTTGATCATACGCATACACACTAGCAAAACAGCTGAAACTTTGTTTTATTTTCTTGCAACTGCTGGGGTCTTGCATGAAGATCAATCAGTTGGATTTTTCATGCAAGTTTCTCTCAAATTCTGGGGAAAAGTTATTAACTTACAAGTTACCAATACATGCAAGCATTTCTGGGTTTTGCAACCATTCAAAAATTTGATCAGCACACCAACCTTTACTATGCGAATTCTGATTAAAACTGAATGGTAGGTGGTTTGGGTCTGATACTTTGTTTATCCTTGATTTTTGAAGGAAGAATAAGTTTTGCTTCCAAAACTGTCTATTGTCTTTTTACGGTAGAACAACAGATGATCTTCTAGTGATATTTCAAAATTCCCCATATCGACAAATGACACGTGATTCTGACGGATCCGTCAACGCCAGGTAGACAGAGCCGTATTTTGTTTTGTTTTTTTGTATGCTACAGATTCATTTTGTACTTGCTAATAATTATTTTATTTAGAAAAGTTCATTTGCATACAAAAAAGGAACACTATAGCAAGTTTAACTATACTAAGTGACATATAAATCCGAACACCCAGTTTAAATGGTTTTATTTTAATAAAATTTTGTATAAGTACTTAATGAAGCATAATAAGTAAATGATAAAAATTTCAAAATAATTGCACTGCTTTAAAGCCCTTTGACCTTTAATAATGTGTGGATGCACCCTGATGTGCTACGCATTCTCCAACGCGCCTAGGCATGCTTCTGATCAGGTGGTCAATGTCCTCCTGTGGTATCTCATTCCAGGCAACCACCAACTCCTCTCGAAGTGCTTCTAGAGTCTGAGGAGGACGTTGCAAATTAAGCAATCTCCTACCCATCATATCCCACACGTGCTCAATTGGGGATAAGTCGGGAGATCTTGGTGGCCATGGTAACAATGTGACATCATTATGTTGAAAGAAGTCTATTGTGACTCTTGCAACATGTGGTCGGGCATTATCTTGTTGGAAAGTTGGATCTGCCAGGGTGTCAAGATAGGGTAAAAGATGGGGTTCTAGAACTTCGTGGATATAACGCTGCGCGTTCATGTTACCTCTGATGAAGATTAAAGGTGACCTGGAACCATAAGCTATAGCACCCCAAACCATAACTCCAACAGTGTGATGAACATGTCTTTCAACAAAAAACTTGGATTCCTCCTTTCACCACGTCGCCTTCTAACCCTGGCACGACCATCGTGCATGCCTAAACAAAATCGAGACTCGCCACTAAAGACAATACTGTTCCATTCCTGATCCCAGAGTGACCATTGTCTGCACCACTCAAGGCGATTACGTCGATGTTCTCGAGTTAAAGGGAGGACCCAGTGTGGCCGGTATGAAAACAAGCCGAAACTTCTCATTCGTCGGTAAACACTTCGCATGCCAATAGGTCTTCCGTGTTCTGCAAACCATTCATTTGCAATGGACCTGGTAGTGGAGAAACGGCCCCTTAAGGCCAATAATCTTAGGCGGCGATCTTCACGGTCTGTTGTTCTACGGCGGCGTCAAGTGCCCCTTGCTCTTTGCGTACGGCCTTTTCGAAGCCATGCCTGACAATACCTAACCACAGTGTCTACACTTCTTTGCACTCTAACTGCAATTGCCCGAAAAGAAAGTCCAGCTTCCCGAAGTCCCACTATACGGCCCCTATCAAACTCACTAAGTTGACGAAATCGTACAGGTCTCCGACTCTAGGCATCGTAACCGATCGTAAAGGATCTCAAGAACCAAAATTCGCCAACGTTGATTCTTTACTGCGGCTGAAATATTCATTTTTAGAGCGTTAGTGAATTAAAAAAAAGCAGTATAAAAACCGGAGTGTCCAACTGATAAGGCTGAAAATTTTTTCACTTGTTATTTACAGTAAGATAAATACATTCACCAACTTTTCTTAAAATAAAACCATTTAAACTGGGTGTCCGGATTTATATGTCACTTAGTATAAAATAAGCCCGATTCATTATTGCCAAAAGACTAATAAACGATGTCACTTGCTGATCAGCTGTTCTGCTCAGTAGACGTCAAAACGTGATGGATGCTTTTTTTCCGACGAATAACCTTAATCTCCTCAAATGTCAATGAAAAAAAGATTTTAATCATCATGAACGAACAAATACACAGGTGAGATACGTACTTCAAAGTTCAAAAACTCCAACAGCCTAGCAATGGTCTCTCCAATAATAGTGGACCTCAAGTGACCCACATGCATCTCTTTGGCAATGTTTGGTGAAGAGAAATCAATAATGATTTTTTTCCTTTCTACTGTCGGAGGTTGAACACCATTTTGGAAAATGGCTTGAAGTTTTTTGACAGCATAATCTCTGTTCAAGAAAATGTTGATAAAACCCGGACCAGCAATCTCGCATTTTTCTACCATTGGATGCGAAGGCAGATTGTCTAGAATCTTTTGTGCCAGGTTTCTAGGTGTGACCTTCTTTCCTAAAATGTTGGATAGCAATAGTTATTAACTTTTAAGAAGCCTAGGATGACTTTGTCTTGTATGAAAAAATGAAAAGTGGTTATTTCTGCTAAGGTTACATTTCTCTGGATAACTTTAACCTAGGTTATGGGCACATAAAGTTTATATTTGCTGTGTTCACAGTTTACCCATGTATTTTATTACACTTTTTTGTGTCACAGGAATTTTGATAGCACTCAAATTACCTGACTGTTTGTAGATGTTGGCAATAGGCATTGCAGAGTTGCACTGATAGTCCCCAAACTTTGGATTACTTGCTGCTACAGCAATAACTACAGGTGGATCTGTGATGTCAGGAAAAGCTGCACAGATTGCAGTATGAAATAACTGGTGCAATATATCTGTAATACTTTCCATTTTTGAGCTGTCAGAGATTGTTGGTTTACTTTGCATCTGTTCTTCAGCTATTGCCTATGTAAAAGGAGAAAAGAAATATACCATTCTGATACTTTGAAATATAAACGTTACTAAAACCACAAAATTAAATTATAATTTCCTTATATCTAAGGATAAAGTAGTTTTTAAAGGCAAAGCCACATAACACCACTTATAGATGCATTTTGAACATAATATAAAGATTTCCATTAGTCTGTAAAAATAACTATTACTTGAGATCATCAGTGGCTGTGACTCATGAGGTCTTCAAATATTCAATATCAGTCAGAATCTTCATCTCTGAATACCAAAAAAATATAAACAGAAAAGGAGAGAGCATCTCATCATGTGATATACCTATGGAAATCTCTTAGTGAAGGAAACAGTGGGTCATATTCATGGTCCTGGAGGCATAGTTTTCAGGACTGACAATAAATTGGAGGTTCTTGCTGACGTCATTGAAAGGCAGTTCTCTCACAATTATGATCTGGACAATGACCTTGACGAGGAACGACAAATTGTAGGATCTGTCAGGAGACCTGGCAGAAACATACTAATATTTTGAAAACAAAATTCCAAATTACCTTTCGGCAGCTTTATCCTTTGTTGTGCCAAAATTCAAAATTAGGTTTGATGAGATGAGACTTTTAACTAAGAGCAAAGGTCCACCGGACCGCTCTGATGAATAATGAAGAATAGTAGGAAACAGTGGGTACAATAACTGTCAATTTATTCAAGAATAATCTAGAAGATAGAGCAGCATGTTTTGTGCATTATTCAGCATAAAAAAAGACTACACAACAGTGTCATCAGACGTTTTTGCCCACTGTTGTAGTGCTAATAATAATAATGATAATTTTTCTGACTTACTTTTACGAGTAGAACATTTTGGATTATGTCAAAGAGAACAACAAATCGAAAGTTTATTGCTACTTATTGTTCTTGACTACCATAGCAGAATACAGCTCTTAGTAATACTGATATTTAACATAAATATAAATACATATAAAAACTCACTATGCTTAAAATTGCTAGTCGATGTTTTAGTTTTGTATTCTCAGTAATTAACTTATTTAGCTCTGCATTATCTGTATTAGCCTCAACTACCATGTCAGAGACTTTTCTTTTAATATCCTCAACATAAGCTTTTAATACGGAAACTTCTTCTTCCTAAAAATATATGAAAGCAAATCCAGTAAGTGAAAAAGTTGCCTTGAACATTTCTTAAAGATTTCAGTGGAACTTAACAAACAATACAAAAACTGAATGCAAGTTTGTAGATAAGGAGACTAATGGGAACTATAAAGTTGCATTCACACATGATCTCTTACATAGCAGTTAAATTGCTGCAAACATATGGCAAAATCATCAAAGTATTAGTGGTCGGTTTACAAATACATGTTAATTGCCTGTTTGGATTTGATGCCACAATACCAGCCAGTCAAAAATCCTCAGAGGCCTCAAGAGCCTGAAGCAGAAACTTTTTATGGACCAGGCATATAGCAGAGCGAAACACGGGCCCTATCAAGTGCCATGTCATAACTTAGTTTCTCTCTGTTTTTGGGGCCAACGCACAATACGACGTGTGCATCATCCTGGATCGCCGTTAATGCCAGCTTGAGACAAGCTGTTCATCGCCTCTTCTCAATTTCGGCATTGAATAAGGGTCAGTTGGTTGGTGAATGAATAAAATTATACTTACCGCTCGAGCAGCTTCCTCAACATGATACGATAAATCGTTTTCCATATTACAACTATTCCTCTTTGAAAAAGAAAACGCTCAGAAAATGAAACCAAAAAAGGATCAAAATGTTTCTTATTACTAGCCGTTTTGAGGTTAACTTTTCCGTGTCACGTGTCATGTGTCACGGCACAAAACATGACGTAGATGTCACAGCGACACATTTTAAACGTCAAAAGAATTCGGTGTAGAGTGTAGAGATGTGCGTAGCATCTTTTTCAGGGGATGGAGTTGAAGTGAGAATCTGTTTGAATCCCGCATCATCGATTTCTGTCGCTAACTTGCGTTTATACCGTAGATTACGTCCACAATGAGTCAAGAGGTTATCTCATCTTGCACCGGACTCGGAGGGCACCCGCGAGAAGTGTATTTTATAACTTCATGAAACAAGTTGGCCCCACGCCAATTTAACCGTTGGGCCACTACGCCAATATTACACGATTTGGTCCGAGTGAGGTAACTGTTGAAATATACTCTACTAGGCCCAATAAGACTATCCACAGGGAGGTTTTTCTCGAAATCGTTAGAAAAATAGAAATGAAAATTTTCAAAATTAACATCATTACATTTGAAATGACTCTATTGGTACACCGGGCTAGACATCAATCATCACAGCACCACAGGTGACCGGTGACCTTGTAACCTGGGTTGCGGTGTTGCCACGTTGCCAGCTTATCGGATGTTTTGCTACCTTTGAGATTTCGCTAAAACCTCATAAAAAATGCTAAATAGTTAAAGGTGATTCCAATAAATATTCACATTGATTGTGCAAGTACAATCAAAACCAGGCTGGTGGTGTTTTTGTTTTAAGCCAATCTGCATTTTTAAAAATTGTTTTAAATATTATTTCATGCCCACAATTTGTACATAAACAAAAAAAAAATATTGCAGGTTTAAGATTTTCTATATGCATAAATACAGTATGTACGTAGGTATTTAGGGGTAACTCAAAAGAGTAGGTAACATACTAATATTTCAATTACATTAAAAAGTATTATGCATAATAATAAAAATAGACGTTGAAGAGATGCCCACTGGTTGAAGACGAAGATGAAGTAATATTAGTTCTAATCGGAGACGACTACGACTAATAACTATTTGATTTTCTATATTTTTATTTTGTTGTATATAAGAATTCTACAATTTTATTTTTTACACTCCAGATACGAGTAGTCTTGTTGTTTCATTTTGTGGTTTTCAACTGCATTTTAGAATTTGTAGTCGGTCCTGTGGGCACTGTATTTTAATGTCGGTAATAAAAACACTATACTAAACGATTAAACACAAAAATCAAATCCAAGCGAATAACCAAAATTTCTGTGTTATGTGCCGCGGTTATAATATGGTTCAAGATGACACACGGGTTGATGACGTCAGTTACACGAATCGCTTGAACGCGTTGGTTTTAACCGCGGTTTTGTTGCAAGTTGTTTATTTTAGAAAAGCGCGTATATAATCTCTGATTATTTTTATTATCACTTAATAATCGGTGCTTTTTCGTCTACAACTGTATATGGAAAGTTTAAATAAGAAACCTTCTATAATATTCATGGGAGAAATGTTTTTTCAGATTTTTTTTTAATGATGGAACCATGGCTTTGTAGCTATGATAACTTTCAATTCTCTAAATTTTTCCGCATGTTAAAGAAAACATTTATTGATTCAGCAGAAATGATGAAAAAAGAAATTAGCAAAACCGTATACAGGTGGATATCATTTAGTGAGTTTATATGGCCATATTTTAATATTCTTGTGGTATATGGCTACACAGGATACTTTGTTAAGCATTGGAACTACATTCAAAGTGTCCCCAACAACCATAATGAGTATAACTAATAAGGTGCTCCACTTTATGGTAAAACTGAAGTCAGCCTGTATCATTTTTCTCAATAATGAAGCTGAAGTACAATAACAATATCCAATACCCGGCAAAATTCTAACTTGTCACATTTCAAATAATAACCAGAAATATAAAACTACTCTTGAGTTGGGTAAATACCACAATTTTGCGGTGATAACTATGACATATAACAGCTGATTCATGACGTCACGGATCTTATAACCAAACTGATAACTACGCTCGCTTGAACGGATCGGTAAATACCAACCCAAAATGGTAAATACCATTTCCATTTGGTTATCCGCTTGAATTTGATTATTCTTTCATAAACCACCTTAAGCGAATAATCATTAATTATGGAACTTACTTTCCTCTCCTTCATCTGTCAATTGTCAACGATCAAACGTCAGTGTCCATGTCAACCGGCAAACACAGGCGCGCGAATTTCAAATCTGAAATTTTCATTACTTCCATTTGATATTTTTTTACTTGGTAATTTTGTTTTTCTTTGGTTTTTGATATATTTTATTTATTTGTTATATTGCCTGTGTTCAGCTTTACGTCGATGACCTGCGACAGTTCCGGTACCCAGTTTTCTAAAACCTTGAATATGGAACATCCACGTTTCACTGACCGCCAAATACAACCACAAATGCACATTGGAAACTGAAAATATATTTTTTAATTCTGAAGTCCGCAGAGGTGACAGATACGTTAGTAAGTCTTTATTCTACGTTTATAGTTTTATTTAGCGGCCCCTGAAACATGGAAATTCATCAGCAATTCAAGGATAAGTTTCAGATATTACTTTGAAAAACATTTTGAAACACTCAATAAGTGTAGGATAAGATCCTTTAAATGGGACAGAAAACTGGTAGGGACATATAATAGATCTACAACACATTTCCTTGTATAAGGTATAATAAAACAATATAAGTATACAAAAATAGCGATGGAATTTTTTCAAAGCAAATTAGTTCAAAAAACAGCTGAAATGATATTTGAATAAATATTTATTTCCATAGCTCATACACGCCATGGAACATTTCAACAAGTTATCACCAACGAGAAGCAATTGTTCATTTATATAATGTATGTAATATTATCGCATATCATTATACAACACTATAGTTTTTCAAGTATACAGTAGGATATATAATAATGTAACGGCACCCTCCAATTGAGAGTTTTGGCAGTTACAAATACCGCACACGTAAACGTTAACCTTTCTTCGTCTTCCAAATTACTATGAGCTCGTGACAATTGTTTCGCCAAAAATTTCGTTTTCTGTACGTCACCATATACGATCCGATAATATAACACACTTTTAACAATTATGGTTAACCTTATTCCACATTTATCAGAACCATATAGCAGGAGACGCGAGGGAAATGCTGTTCGAGCTGTAAAAACGCCCTCGAAACTTGACGCCTGAAGTACCAGCGGTGCTTTTGCAGGGTTGCCATGTTGGGGGATTTTCCCCAAATTTAGGGATATCACACGTTTCGCGGATAGAAAGCATGCCCCCGTTCTTTGAATCAAACCTACCCCTTTTTAATAATTAACTGATTTGGGGGATTTAAAAAAGTAGTAATTCAGAGGGATTTTTGTGCTTGTTCAGGGGAAGTTTTGTCCGACCCATGTGACAACGTTGTACTTTGGCAGATTCGCCATATGAACACTAACAAACGGGTTGCCATTTAGTTCATTGTAAATTAACTCAACTAATTTTGCTTATTTCTTGTAAATACTAATTGTAAACAGTCGGAAATCTGTTGGAAATTGGTACTGTTATTTTAGCTATTTGTGAAAAACTATTGAAAAATCTCCCTTTGTGCGGTGATGAAAAAAGGAAATAATGCTGAAATATTTTATATACTTAGGTCCAAAATTATATCATAACTTATCAAAATATATTAGAAAAAAAAAGAATATCATTATTATTGAATACTAATATAAGAATGATGTAATTTATAAAAAACTCTCACATATATATATATATATATATATATATATATATATACTTTCGCCTTTTGTTGGGTACTTCGACAAAATTTAAGCAAAGAGGACTCTTTATACTTTTTTAATTCTCTCTACCTTTCAATGGACTTTGCCATCATCATCAGGAGCTGCAATTACAATGATAACAGTAGCAACAAAAGTGTGAAATGAATTTAAATTGACTCAACTTACAGTAGTATGTGAGGATGTTGCTAATTGTTGTGTACGTATAGAATGAGGGAAACGTCCAGAAACATGGTGAAAGCTGAATAGATGGTACACTGGTCAAAAATTATATAAAATATGACAAGAACAAGTTAAAAACAGATTAAATTTTTTTTAAAAAAAATGAACATTACATCGTGAAGCCACTTGATGATTGCACAAAATGGTGGTCATGGAGTAATGAGTGAGATGAACCCTTTGACAGAAGGCCGAAGGTTGTCATTATTCCATGACCACCATTTTGTGCAATCATCAAGTGGCTTCACGATGTAATGTTCATTTTTTTAAAAAAAATTTTAATCTATTTTTAACTTGTTCTTGTCATATTTTATATAATTTTTGACCAGTGTACTATCTATCCAGCTTTCACCATGTTACTGGACGTTTCCCTCATTCTATACGTACACAACAATTAGCAACATCCTCACATACTACTGTAAGTTGAGTCAATTTAAATTCATTTCACACTTTTGTTGCTACTGTTATCATTGTAATTGCAGCTCCTGATGATGATGGCAAAGTCCATTGAAAGCTAGAGAGAATTAAAAAAGTATAAAGAGTCCTCTTTGCTTAAATTTTGTCGAAGTACCCAACAAAAGGCGGAAGCTTTAATTTTTCACCTAACTGGTCTAGACGACAATGACCACGTCTCAAGTTTTATATATATATATATATATATATAACTTGATGTGTTATATATATATATATATCTTTTCCGCATTGCTGATCCACGATACAAAATCAACGTATTACATTTATATTGTATACATTTTTTAGTAGAATCAATTTTTTTACAATTTTGATCACTTACTAGTAATTTGAATTTCTCTTTATTGATTATACAGTACCGATTCCTAGGCCAAACCCTTTTTAATGATTTTCTTTTAACAAATTTCATAGTTTATTGATTGTATAATTTCAAACGTCTTATATCCCACGCCTTTTTTTTCTAAACAAGAGGAAATTGTGGTGTGATTCCTCTTTCTTTTTTAATTAATTAATTAATAAATGAATAAAACACTATACTGAGTCGCTGAGAAAGATATAATACGTGTGAAATTATACAATCAATAAACTATGAAATTTGCCAAAAGAAAATCATTAAAAAGGGTTCGGCCTAGGAATCGGTACTCTATAATTAATAAGGAGAAACTTAAATTACTAGAACGTGATCAAAATAGTAAAAAAAAGTTCGTGATTTTGGCATTTTGACAATGTTATGTGTGATATTTTCCTTTTGGGGCATATCAATTTATTCACAATTTATGAATGATGTGAATAAATATTATTATACCCATTTTAATTTGAGCACTTATTTGGTGTAATAAACTAATGCATGTCAAAGTCAGGTTTCATCATTTATGTTTTATTATATTTCTTGATAAGAACTCGGCAGATTCGTCGAACATGGCCAAGATAGAATTAAGAATAAGAAACTTCATTTCACTATGTGGGTACTAAAGAGACCAGACAGATTTTCAGCAATATAAAAAAAACGATTATTACCATTTTGTAATATAAAAAGGAATTTAGGTAACCCTGTAACAGTAAAGGTGTTATTATTAAACTAGCATGTTATTGTGGTTTTCATTTTTGCCATATAATAGGAAATCATTTTTTGCATATTATTATTTCAAAAGGGCCCATTTAAGGAATATGCATGCTGACCAAATTCGCGTCGGAAATTTTTTAAACAAATTCCAAAAATTGCTTTTTTCGATGTGTCGATGAACAAAAAAATTATTTAGAACTTTTCTCTAAAGTTGATCGTTTTCGAGATATAAGCAATACGATATTTTCGACCCAGAAACACAGTATGAAAAAAACGAAAACTTTAAAGTTACCAGTGTTTCTGAAAATTCTTGTTAATGATTAATATTTGAACCATTCTCAATCATTCTATCTTTAGTATTGCTACAGGAACAAGTTTCATTTATGATGGAAAACATCTAGTCCGCTCCGCATTCTGGTGAATGCCAAATAAAGTTAACGTTAACGTACGCGGCATTTATATTATCTGATGTCATACGTAAGAACTATAAATCCCAAGTTTATGAGAATATATTTTATTTTCGTGTCCTAGAAATATCCCCAGTTTTCTGTACCTGAATACCAGGATGCCATTACATTTGTTTCATCTATTATTTCAGGACAACTTACAGTCTATAATTACAAAAGTAGCTCTTTATATACAATGTAAATTTTAATATCGCCCACGACAAAAAATTACAAACATCGATTATATCCCAATGGACTTTAGTCCTTTCAACAAAATGCAATGTCATAAACAACATAAATATGTATATGTAATTATCCCAGTCAATGAAAAATCATTACAACGGGATTTTCACTGCGTGTCAATAACGAAACATTCGAGATGTATTATTTTTAAGCCTGAATCCACTTAATTCAAACAGTTTCTAAAATAGCTAGTTTCTAACGTCAAATGTCAAACCTAGTCATATGTTTCACTAGAGAGGTTTTCCACTGACTGGTTCGAAAACAATTACAAATCACTACGAGCAACGCTATGCTGTTACAATTACAAAATCTTAGGTCCATCTTACAGCTTATCTATATTCAATAACATATTATATATATACACACACTGCGCTCAATAGATTCGTATACAAAAAGTATCTATGTATAAGACGTTATCACGAGTACATATGATAACTGTTGCATTTTATGCTTACACTTTCTATAAGTACCCAGGAACTGAAACAAAATACACAATGTTAATGATGTACGGGGGCGGTTCAGTAAGTACCCGAGTTTGACGATGTGCTGCCATATATCAGACGACGGCACATCAAATTTCAGACTGATTGATAGGTTAGTTTGGATTTGGTAGCCACTCGAGTAACCCGTGTTTTGCGATGTTCGCTAATATGGACAAAGAGCAGTATCGTTCGGTAATTCGCTTTTTGTTTTTGGAGATAAAAGCAAAGTTGTATGCTGTTTATGGGGGCACTTCGCCATCTATGACCACAGGTAGATATTGGTTCAACGAATTTAAGCGTGGGCGAACATCCGTTTTTGATGAGGAGCGACCAGAACGCCTGGCAGTCGTGGTTACCGAGGAAATCATTCAAAAAGTCCACGACATGATTCTCGCTGATAGACGAACGAAAGTGCAAAGGCCGTAGGTGTGTCGACCGGAATGGCAATCAATATTTTACATGATAAGTTGGCTATGAAAAAAATGTCGACCCGAAGGGTGCCGCGATTGCTCACGGTGGACAACAAGCAACTAAGCGAGAATCAAAACAATGGATATCTCTCGGTGAATCTGCTCCAAAGAAGGCGAAGACGGTCCCATCGGCCTGAAATGTCAAGGCGATGATTTTTTGAGATGCGAACGGCGTCGTCCTCGTCGATTTTTTAGAAAAAGGAAAAACGATCACTGGAAAATACGAGGGATGTCTTTTAAGTTTTGCATATAGAAACATAGTAGGCCGCGCGGATCGAACGTCAGTACTGAATCTTAACCTCACTTTTTAGTAAACTTAAATTCAAAGTTTCACAACAATACTATACTACAGTCAATTTTTAAGTGTCGCCAAGTCATTAGAAAAATGGAACTCAACCGAGAACATTTTCGCGCCATAATTTATTACAACTTTCAGAGACAATTATCGCAACAAGAATGCCTTGCTGAGTTACTCCAACTACCACGAAGGTCTAAGGCCTAAACACCCATTGGGTACCGTGGGGCTATAGGGGGATACAGGGGAAAGGGGGAACGCCACACGGACTCTGGCGAGGGAACACGTGGGCATGCAACATGCACACATTCTGGGTCCGCCTACGAGATCCGCCGGGTGGTACCTCCACGTTCGACAGTCAGAGACCGTCTACCACCTACGGACAATCACAACATCCATAGCAAAGAGAAAAATTTCTCCTGGGACGGGACTCGAACCCGCACAGCATACGGCGACTGATCAGGAGAGCGAAGAGTCTACTACTGCGGCCACCGCTGCTGCCTAAATATGAAGTAGTAATAAAGTACGTAGCTAAGTCTCCAGGGGTAAATCTTTCAGTGACTGCAGGAGGAAAGGTTATTTAAGAAGAGTCTGGAAGTGGCTCCTATGTGAAATGTACGGTTTCACTTGTTTTGAATCGATTTTTCCAGAACATCTCGTAACCCACAAACGATTTTTATAAAATTTGTTGAGATTCTGCAGATAGAGTCGTATCGACAACCTGAATCTTCATCGCTGCATTTTAAACGCCCTAAATTTCATGTATCTTCAATTCCGGAAACTCAAACAATGTGTACAGCATTGTTAGTGGTGATGAGTCGTGGATTTACTGTTATGAATCAGAAAATAAACGACAGTCGGCTGTTTGGGTGTTACAAGGTGAAGAAAAGCCAACAAAAGTGGGTCATATTGCAACAATTCCTCTTAATGAGCAAAGAACTGTTACTGCGGATTGGTATACCACCATTTGTTTGCCAAAAGTCATTACCGAGCTTCGAAAAATCAACCCCGAAAGAAGAATCATCCTCCACCAAGACAATGCAAGCTCGCATACAGCCCAAAAGACAAGGCAGTATTTAACGGAAGAAAACGTGGAATTATTAGACCATCCTCCATATAGTCCCGATCTAAGTCCTAACGATTTCTTTACTTTCCCGAAAATTAAAAACAGACTGCGTGGTCAGAGGTTCCAGTCACCAGAAGAAGAGGTTGACGCATTCAAAAATGCCGTTTTGGATCGGCCAGCAAACTGGTGGAATAAGTGCTTCGAAAATTGGTTCAAGCGCATGCAGATGTGTATTAATCTTCGTGGAGAATACTTCGAAAAACAATAAAGTCATTTAAAATCTATACACTTACCGTGTTGTTTTATTTCCATATGCAAAACTTAAAAGACATCCCTTGTACTATAGTGAGTTATTGGACCGCTTCGACACGGCCACATTTGACGAAAAAGAATGTGCTGTTTCACCACGATAACGAACCAGCACATTTGTCCGGAGTTGTCGCCGCCAAACTGCATGAATTGCGTTATGAAGTGCTGCCGCACCTCCGTATTCACCCGATCTGGCCCCCTGCGACTTTTTCTTGTTCCCTGACATGAAGAAATGGTTCGCGGGGAAAAATTTAGCTCAACCGAGGAAGTCATCGCCGAGACAGAGGCGTATTTTGGAGAGTTCGACAAATCCTATTTTTTGGGGAGAATTAAAAACATGGCAGGAACTTTGGGAAAAGAGTATCTTTCTAAAAGGGGATTATATTGAAAAATAAAAAGGGTACTTATTGAACCGCACTCGTATAAGAGTTTTTGGGACAGAAAAAAGTATCAGAATATCCATACAGGTAGGGCCTGATGATATACCGCCTATATACAGGGTGTTCGAAAAATAGACGGAGATATTTCAAAAATATGAAGAAAAGAACGTGGGTCCGGAAATGCAGAATTTTCAACAGGGTGATAAATTAAAAAGAAATTATTAATATTTACTTGATTCTGTTGAAATTTGGCATTATTATTTGTTGTATTAAGAAGCTAATTTAGTCCTGAACAGATTACAATTATTAGGTCCAGTGGCGTCCCGTGGGGCACTTTGGCGGATATTATTGACAAAAAAAGGAAGCCACTGATTTTTTGGAACTTTATTATTTGTTGTTTGATCAAGCATCTAAAAATACCACTTCCTTGCCTCTCACTTCGTTTTCGAGAAAAAAAAATAAAATACATTTTATTGCATGTCACTGGACAAGATAGGTTTATTAATTTTTGCTAAAAAATTACAAGTGCATTGGAAAACTAAAAATCAAAAAAATGTCTAGGAAAGTTTTTAATCCATTTTCCCAACAATTTTAACAATTGGACCCGTTCCAGAACTAGAAAAACAGCCCCAAGCCATGATGTTGCCTCCACCGTGCTTAACTGTTGGCAACTTTTTTGATTTTTTTTTTTTTATATCGAAGCAGCCGCTGAGGCAGAAGCCTAACTGCCGGGACACCCAAAGAAATGTTGTTAATACGATTTTTAAACTCCCTTAGGTTAATAGAACTCCTCTTGTAGATTGTTCCACAATCTCGACACCCTCGCGACAAAGGAGCGGTCGTATCGGCCAGTTTGTATTGGGCGTCTCACATATGTCGTACCGTCAGACCCAAACAAGTTGAATTTGCTTCCATCGCACCATATAACCGTATTCCATTGTTGTTCTGGCCAAGTTAAATGAGTTTTAGCAAATTCAAGCCGAGCAATACGATTTTTTTTAAATGAAAGGCTTTTGCACTGGACGCCAAAAAGCCCAAAATCCACCAAGCGTCTCTGCATTGTTCTCAGCACCCTCTTCTACGATTCTTTTGAAAATCCGGGTGGCTGACATTCGAGGATCTTCACGGGACAAACGTTAAATCCAAAAGATAATCGCTTGTTTTTCGGTCTTCCGCACCTGGGCCGCATTGCTGTTGATCCGTATTCTTGATATTTACTAATAATTTTCGAAATCGTCCTTTTGTTCATTTTTAATCTTTGAGAAATGTTAACATTTCTGACACCACTCTAGATAATTCAATTGCTTTGTCTCTTAAATCTTTTGAAAATTCTTTTAACTTTGCCAGTTTCACCGATGTCGATATTTACCGCACCAAAATATCAAGAGTATCGCATAACGAATAAATACGGCAAAACTGAAATGTTTCCATACTTTTGTCGTTACAAAAACTAATGGATTTAAAAAAACGCGTGTTTTTATTTTCAGACAATTTGAATATCAATAAGATAAACCTTGTATTAGCACGGGAGTCAAAGGTAGACTTTAATATTTACATCTGTTCTTTCACAATTTTAATTTAGGTATATGGTAATGTTAATATTTGTTTCCAAACTTTTCTCCGCTACTGTAACAAAACACCAGGAGCTTATTTTTTTGTGAACAAACTATTGATATTTCGTCGAAATAAAAATCCCGAAAACACCCTATATGGCTCACCTGTTGAGTGACCGGCAGGTCGGCCAAGGACGCTGACTACGTCACTGCATAGGCGCGACGCTGGTCAAGCTGCCTGCTCCCGCAGCGCTAGCCGCCCCTGTCGCGCCTCCGCTGCTCACAAATGCCGATGAGCTGCCCAGCGTAGATGACAGGTCCTGTAACCGTTGAAAAACATTTCACTTATTCCCGTCGATTCGTTTACGCACATCTAAGAGTCAGATTTATAGACTTTCCTTGAGGCACATTAGACTGTTACAGTGGTCATCAGAGCCAGAAAGATTTTTCTGTGATGGCCCTATCTATTTAACAATGGGACACATTGGTTTATTTGTGCTGAATATCGATAAACAATGCAAAATAATAAGTGTTTAGTTCATCGAATTACAGCGAAGTAAAAACCTGAAAATCTATAGGGAAATAACAATTTAACCAAATTTCAAGCTGGATTCAGGAAGAAACACTCAAACAACTGAAACGGCAACAAGTGGTTTTAGAGGACTGAAGGAGATGTATGGACGATAAATAGAAAACATACAGTAGCAGTGTTTTTGGACTTCAAAAGGGCGTTTGAGACTCGTGACAGGGATAAATTACTTACAAAATTGCATCACTACGGATTTAAAGGATCTGTCTTCAAAATTCTTAGTAGTATTTAATTCACAGAAGTCAAAACACCAAAATTGGATCTACGTTATCAAGATCAAAAAATATTTCTGTTGGTATACCACAAGGTAGCAACTAGGTCCACTACTATTTATTTTATACATTAATGACATTTGTAATATTTTAGATTATTTTAAACTTCAGATATTTGCAGATGATACATTAATATACATATCAGATGAAAAGATAGACATTGCTTTAAAAATGCTAATTTCTAACTTGGCAAAAATCGTAAATTGGTTAAATGTAAATAAACTAAAACTGAATACTTCTAAAACAAAATGTATGCTAATAGGGAAATACCTAATTGAAAAAATTATCACAGTTAGGGTAAATGGAGAAATAATTGAAAATGTTGAATCAATTAAATATTTAGGTAAATATATTGATAGTAAACTAAAGTTTGAGGATCACTATGAATACATTATTTCAAAAATTGCCAAAAAAACAAATTACTTTTATATGGTAACTATTCCAAGAAAATAGTTTATAATACAATTATTCTACCGCATTTACTACATTGTTCAACTATCTTGTTCACTGCCAATGAAGCTGTATTCTCAACATTACAAGTATTGCAAAATAAAGCTATGAGAATAATATTGAATAAAAATAAGTACAACAAAATAAAATCTATGTTACAAGAATTGCAATGGACAAATATCAAAAATTTTATATCATATTTGGTTCTTATTTTTATATTGAAAATGAAAAATAACCTTTTGCCAGAACATTTAGAACACTACATAGAGTTGAATAATCATTACCACAATTATTATACAAGAGGAAATACAGATTTTCATTTACAAAATTGCAATAGCAATATAACTAGCAAATCAATATTTCAGAAAGGATTACTTGAATTTAATAAACTAAATAATGATATAAAGTCTATTTGTATTTAAATATATTTAAAAGAAAATTAAAGGAATATTTCATGGACAATGAAAATTCTTAGAGATGCAAATTTTGTTTTTTTTTTCCTGAATCTCAGTATGCTATGTAATTATTTAGTTTTTTAGAAGAATGTAATTGTAGCAATCATGCTAAATAAATCTTAAAACAAAACTATCTATTTAACATTGGGACACTTTACACTGGTTTATTTCTGATAAATATCAATAAACCATGCAAAAAATAATGTATTTGTTCCATTGATTTACAGCGCAATCACAAAGAAGTAAAAACCTGAATATGTATAGGCAACCAGTTGCACCAAACTGCTCTACTGATTGCAGGTTGTCGATTACGTCTGTCAGATTCAGCGAAAGTACTCGTTCAAATTCAAATATTTTGTAATCTCTAAAATTTAATAAACCGTCGACGGATCATGTGTGACAGCGAATATAAAAATAAGTTTAGCTAGGCAGAGATGTATCTGATTGATATATTGGAAAATTTAAATTTATCTTTGGAGATAAGAAATAATTATATATATATATATACAGGGTGGCTTCGAAGTTGAGTCATTTATCTTAACAGTGAGTAGATCTGATCAAAAGAAATGTTTTTTTTCTTTACCATTTTTCTGGTAAAATTAAAGTAACAAAGTTATAGCCCTTTGGAAGTTTGAGTACCGCCCTGTCTCAATAATAATATCATGTGCTCGTGTTTGGCAACAACGGATATAATCCGCCTTATCGGTTCATCGCATCGGAAACAAAAAAGCGAAAGAATTTGGAAAGATGTTTTTACAATTATTTTATTCAGTTGTATACAGTCAGTGTCAGTCGGTAACGCGTGAGTGAATAGTGGTGTCTGTTGCGTGGCTCAAACGAAATAAAACATGGCACATGTTTATGCGGATCGGTTTCCCAATCGAGTGCAACCAACCCCTCGTGCCTTTGTTAATGTAGTACAACGGGCTCGTGAATCAGGTGACTTAAGACCTCACAGGGGACCTCACGATCAAATACAGGTCCGCACTGAAATACTTGTCGGGAGGATACTTTATAAAACAAGGTAAATTTTTTTTTTATTTTTACACACATATTTTGGTTTATCTTCCTTCTAGAATCAACAAAGTCACTCTGTATATATATATATATAAATGAATCCGTATTTCGCATGGTCACCCCATAACCTGAGAACAACTTTACCGATTTCATCTTTTTTTTAATTTCCTAATGTTGTATAGAAGGCGAAGAAGAGTGCCTGTCTCTTTTGGTACTTGAGATATTTCTTCTGCTGTGAGTGCTCCATGTTCAAGCAAACTGTCAAATGCGCGTAGCTTAAATAATCATTAAGTTTTCAATGATTTCGCAATTTTCTGCACAATTTTCTTGGTTTTTCTTCACCTTCTCCACCTTCTATACAGCATTAGGAAACTTAAAAAAAAAAGATAAATGAAATCGGTACAGTTGTTCTCAGGTTATGGCGTGACCATGCGAAATAAGGATTCATTTATATATATATATATAACTCAAATACCTTTCTTCAACGAAAACGTTTTTAAAAAAGATTTATTTTTGAGAATAACCAAATACAATGATGTTAATTGAATGAGTTCTGAATCGAGACTGACTGCAAAGTTCATTATACAAACCAAAGTAAAGAACAAATGAAATACAATACTGAAACTGATAAGAAAGGAACGTGGAGGCAAAAGTCCTTGTTCAGCATATTCTTCTCTATAGACTGGTACATAACTTATATATATAGAAAGTGTCAGTATTTTGCGTCCTATCATTCACATTAAGTGACTTTTTTTCCTAGCAGTTGAGGACAATCAATGTGACCATTGACAATTTTGCGCAAGTAAGTCAAATTCCGACCGGCGTCGTACAAGGGAAGTCGTATTCATCTAGAGAAGAGTATCAGGATGACTATACTTCTCCCCGATAAAACTCACTCACAGATTCTCAAAAAATTGTTTTGCATACGCTTGATTGACCTGCAAGTTATATATTTGGGATGAGATAGAGCAGAAATACTCAAGTAACAAACGAACCAAAGAATAATTAGCAAGTCCTTGATCTGGTCTGATTTGCAAAGATCTATCATTGATGCTATAGGAGTAAGTAATAGGAGGATGAGACCCACTAAATGTAACTTTGAAAGGGTTCACGTCGTTTAAAACTAAAACATTAACTCCACCACCAATGAGAAACATGGTCGAAGTCTCTTTGCAGCAATTCAGCATCATGTTTGTTCCCAATAACTATAAAAATCATCCGCAAATAAAAGATTTTGACTGCGTCCGAACTCACAAGGTCATTAATAAATATATTAAATAACAAGGGACCTAAGTGGGAACCCTGCGGGACTCCAGATTATTAGATGTTCACCCACTATCTGATAATTAACAGCTTATACTATTCAAGATCTGTACGAGAGTTATTGTTTACTGTCAAAGCTTACCTGGAAACTAAATTGAGGGAAATAAGGCTCTTCCTGTATGGAGCCCAGTAATCTGTTGCTGTCAGGTGGGGTCAATTCCACACTTTCTCCAGTAAACTCTGAGTCGAAATACCGAGTGTCTGTATCACTACACACTTGGGGTTTGAATGGCGGAGGAATCTAGAGAGATACAAAAAACTCGTGAAAATCTCAAAAATATTTTTTTATTTCTTTAACTCAGATAGTAGATTATAGCAGATGCTGAGATTTTGGCAGTTCTAACACTTGAGGATGACAGGCAAAGTGGACAATCTGACGTTCTTTCTTTTCAAATTGGGGCCTAGCGAATAGTATTGAAGAAAGTCAATTTTATGTTACTAAGATATTTGGGTATACGAAAGTTAGGAACCTAATGGGGACGTTAGTTTGAGTACCTTTTTTTGTTCCAAATCTCTCCAATTGATGCTGCTGAAGAAAGAATGGACCATTATCTGTTTGGCATCTTCGGGACCGCCGCCTAATCTCTTAGCGGGATCTTTCACCAGTAGTCCTCCGAGCAAGTCTTTAGCGTCGTTACTCAATTGCCTTGGAAATTTCACTTCTTCCATCAGGATCAAAGTGAAAAGCACGTCGTGGTCCTTGTTGTAAAATGGAAGTCGGCCGCACATCTGGAAATGCCAGCGAGACATTGTACGGAAGGCGTCTCAAATGTTACAAGGAAATCCGCGACTGGCTCTGGTGTACTCAAGCGTGTTTCAATAAGAGCGCCGCAATTTCTTTTTGAATTAAGCGAGTATTTATATTTCAAGATAAAGAGGAATAAACGTGAAATAGGACATCTGGTAAATGGCCACCACGAAACCTCTGGCACAAGGTCAGTCTTTTCTAAAAATTCTGGATAACGTTTTCGCTCAAATGTGGCTCTATTTCGTCGGTAACGTGCCGTATCTCTTCTTTAAGGCGTTCAACTGTTTTTGGCTTGTTCTCATACAGGAAGAAGTCCATTGGCGTTAGATCGAACGATCTTGGTGGCCAATTTTGATCGCCAAACCGAGAGATGACACGGTCTGAAAACTTGGTCCGTAGTAACACGATTTTTTCGCGTGTTGTGGCAGGTCGCACCGTCTTGTGGGAAGAACACATCCTCCACATCAATTCGATCCAACTGGGACCACAAAAAATCGGTTTAAATTCCAATTTTTTCCAAAATTATCAAATTTTCGAATTATTTTACAAATTTCGTATTTTCCAAATTTTTCGAAACCAAATCTTTATGCAAATTTCAACATTCAGATTAAAAAAAATTAAATTCGAATTTGTTTTCAACCTCAAAATAGAGCGCTGACACGAAACAGTAGCCTAATTAACTGGAAATAAGATCAATATAAAAATTAGGATATCATATTTGACAATAATTTTTTACCTTTTAGTTCGATTAGCTATTATAACGGGTGATTTTTTAAGAGGTATAGGGTTTGATTTTCAAAAAAAAAAACACAAAAAATTTGAAAAAAACGATTAAATCTTTATTTGAGTCGATAGAACGGTTGATATAATTTGATGTTTAAAGATTATTCCATGTAAATGTTGGCCGCGGCTCCGCTTTAGATGGCCCATGCGCAAGGTCCAATTTTGGCACACTCTCTCCAACATATCGGCCGGTATCTCATGAATTAACATGGCCCCACAAGAAATAGTCCAACGGCGTTAAATCACACGATCTAGGCGGCCAATTGACGGGCCCCAAACGTGAGATAAACTGTTCACCGAACTAGCCTCTTAATACGGCCATTGTTTCGTGTGCGGTGTGGCATGTGGCACCGTCTTGTTGAAACCACATGTCAGCCAAGTCCAGCTCTTCCATTTTGGGCAGAAAAAAGTTTGTTATCATCGCACGGTAGCGCTCGCCATTCACAGTTACGTTCCGGCCATTGTCGTCTTTGAAGAAGTACGGCCCGATGATGCCACCGGCCCATAATCCACACCAAACAGTGATTTTTTCGGGATGCATTGGCAGCTCTTGCAATGCTTCTTGCTGGTCTTTACTCCAGATGCGGCAATTTTGCTTGTTAACGTACCCATTCAACCAGAAATGAGCTTCGTCGCTGAACACAATTTTTCTATAAAAATGTGGATCTTCCTCCAACTTTGCCAGCGCCCATTCACCAAATGGGAAACGTCGTGGGAGGTCGTGTGGCTTCAATTCTTGCACCAGCTGTATCTTATAAGGTTTTACACCCGAATCCTGTCGCAAAATTGTCCACGTAGTGGATTAACAGAGGCTCAATTGCTGCGAACGGCGGCGAATCGACATTTCACGGTCATCACTAACACTGGCGGATACAGCCGCAATATTTTCTTCAGTCCTCACTCTACGTCTACGTGTTGGTGGTTTAATGTCCAATAATGTAAACTGGGTTCGAAATTTAGTCACAAGCTTCCGAGTAGCTCCCTCAGTAGGCCGACCAAATTGCCCATAAATTGGAAGCAGTGCTCGATGCACTCTCTTAACCGAGCATGAATTTTGATAGAAAAATTCAATAATTTGCAAGCGTTGTTCGTTCGTAAGTCGATTCATGGTTAAATTATAGACCAAACTGAACAAGTTTGACAATGACACAAGACACGATTCACGCGTCATCTGTCAAAAACAGTGTCGCCAAAAAGATACTAGCAAAACAATCAACCATTACTTATTTTAAACTATAATTTATTTTCTGAATTTCTAAATTCAAAGAGACAACAAAAAAGCACTTATAATTTTTTCAAAACTCAAAATTCATTTTTAAATTTCAAAATGATTCCCCAGTTTTTGAATCTAAATTTCAAAATATCCAAATTTTCTTCAAAATTTCCTTGCTTTTTCAAATTTTCAAATTTAATTTAAAAATTACAAATTTTATTCAAAAAATCCATATTTTATTCAAATTCTCATTTTTTTTTCAAAATTACTGAATCTTAAAATTATTTTCCATATTTCGGAATTTTCAAAACCAAATTTTAAAATTCAGATTTTTTAAAATTTGTAATTTTTTTCAAAGACACCTGTGCAAATCTTCAAGTTGATTAGACTTTTTGAATTTGGTGGAAAATAGGTTGAAACATTTCAGGTCAAGCTAATGAAAACGTGAAAAAAATACGAAGTGTAATGTAGTGCAAGTATCTTCATCCAGTAATTATCCTAACTGAAATAGCTATATGTCTTTAACTTACCATTTCGTACATGACGACCCCAGTGCCCCACCAATCTACAGCTCTACCGTAGTCATTATCTTCGAGAACTTCTGGCGCTAAGTATTCGGGCGTGCCGCAGAACGTCTTGGTGGTACGGCCATAAGTAATATCCTCTTTGCATAGACCGAAATCGGTAATTTTCACGTGGCCATCTTTGTCAAGCAACAGGTTTTCGAGTTTTATGTCTCTATAAATGACGCCCTAAAACACACAGACGTTTATGATCCACATCAAGATTTTACTTCCACAATTACAAATTTATTGTAGAACTCTAAGAATGTGAAACGAAACTGATGAAAAGAGGCTTAAGATGCCGATTCAAATATCTAACTGCTCTTGTACATAATATCCACTATTTTACAAACCTGAGAATGTAGATACGCCAAAGCAGATATAATCTCTGCACCGTAAAATCTCGTTCTGTCCTCAGAAAATACTCGTTCTCTTGAAAGATGAAAGAACAATTCTCCGCCGTTCACATACTCCATTACTAGACACAACCTATCGTTGGTTTGGAATGAATACTTCAAAGACTGAAACATTATAAGATGAATTAAAGCATTTGAATTTCATATGGAAAATTCTGTACTTGTGGCAATAATGCGAAATGAATCTTAAGGTCCGTTTTTTAGATATTTTTTCAACTACCTGTTTGCCGCAGTATTCTTAATTTTTTTTTTTATATCGAAACAGCCGCGCAGGCAGAAGCCTAAATGCCGGAACACCGCGGCTGCTATGATGATCCCAAAGCAATTTTGTTAATACGATTTTTGAACTGCCTAAGGTTAGTAGAACTGGGAAAAGCTTCCTCCCGTAGATTGTTCCACAATCTAGACACCCTCGGGACAAAGGAGCGGTCGTATCGGCCAGTTCTGGATGTACGAAGTTTGACACGGTTGGGATGGGACGCCGAAGTCAGGCGGGTCCGTCTGGCAGGCACATCGCGCGGCGGCATCATGGAAGAGAGCTCCGAGGAGCAAAGTCCGTTGGTGTAGCGATAGAAAAGAGCCGGATCGCCGACGGCCCGCCGGTGCGAAAGAGTCCCGAGACTGTCTGTTAGAGAAGAGTCATCGATCAGTCGGACCGCCCTCCTCTGGACAGCATCGAGCATGGACAATGTAGTCGGGGCGGCAGCACCCCAAATGTGTGAGCAATACTCGAGGCTAGGCCTTATCTGGGCCTTGTATAGAGTGAGAAGGTCATGCGGAGAAAAGTACTTTTTAGCCCTAAACAAATAGCCTAGCTTTTTCCCAGCAGCTGCAGCTATTGAAGAGATGTGTTCGTGCCAGATCAGGTATTCGGTGATCTGGACTCCGACCAGCCGAAATGAATGGCTCTTTGGTAGAACTCGACCGTCCATCGAAACTGTATGAGCGCTAGGACGCTTTTTGTTCGTCAAAGTACAGTACTGTGTTTTGGAAGCGTTGAACTGTACAAGATTGTTGCGTCCCCAAGCAGTGATAGCCTCCAGGTCTCTTGTCAGAGAAGAAGTCGTCGCTAGTCTTCTTTTTTCCAGCTCAGCGGCAGAGATCGGCTTGTCACTCTGAATTCCTGCATGTAGAGTGCTGTCATCAGCGAAGCTGTGGATTGAGTTGATCGTGCAGGAAAGGAGGTCGTTGATATGTAAGAGAAACAGTGTTGGAGCCAAGACCGATCCCTGGGGAACACCCGCGTTGACGTTGTGGGATGAAGAGGAGAATCCGTCAATTACGACGGATATCTTGCGGTCAGAGATAAAGTCAGCCACCCATCTGCAAAGCTTTTCTGGGAGGCCGTAGGATGGAAGTTTGCTTAAGAGGGCAGCGTGCCACAGCTGATCGAACGCTTTCGTGATGTCAAGAGCAACGACATGAGCCTCACCATGAGACTGGATGAGTTTACTCCACAGTTGCGTGACGTAAGTTAGGAGGTCCCCTGTGGATCGTTGGTGCCGGAAACCGTACTGCCTGTCGCTAATCAAGCTGTGACGTTCGAGGTAGTCCAGAAGCTCGCGATTTATGCACCTCTCCATCACTTTACTTATAACAGAAAGCAGAGCTACAGGCCTGTAGTTGTAAGGGTCGGTTTTAGATCTTTTTTTTGGGATGGGCTGTACATGAGCAAATTTCCAGTTTTCTGGGAAGGTGCCGGATTCATAAGATATCTGGAAGAGACGCGAAAGAACTGGAGCAAGCTCCGCTGCACATCTCTTCAGTACAATGGCAGGAATCAAGTCCGGACCAGAAGCTTTGTTGATGTCGAGCGACAAGAGCACTCGTCTTACGGTCTTATACCTGAATGTTACCTCCCGCATAGTGTGGGGAACCCTTTGAATTGACGGCACTTGGGCGTTGGTGGGGACGTCCATGGTGGAGTTGGGAGCAAAGATCTTGGCTAGCACTTCCGCCTTGGCCTTTGAGTCGAATACAATAGTTCCATCCTGTCACGTAAGTGGTGGAAGGCTACTGTGTGAGAAGTTCTTTTCAATCTGCTTGGCCAGCGTCCAGAAAGACCGACTGCCATTGCGCTGCGACATTACCCTGTGCCTAACTTTCATATCATGCTGGTTAATCCTTTTCATCTGATAATTTCATGGTGTGTATAGATTAAAAAACAATGTTTAAATTTTTTTGTCAATACAATGGACCTCCGGTAATCCGACAAACATTATGCAAGGCAGTGTCGGACTACTGAATTTGTCGGATTATACTCCGGAATTTTTTACAAAAGAGAACCCTGTAATCCTACAAACTACATATCCAATGGTAACATTATATATGTTATGTATATGTTTGTACATTGAAGTACAAATCATACATAGTTTGTGTATGTCGAATTTAGTAAATTAAATAACAATAGAGAGCTTACGTTTTATTATAAAATTAAGCATAAATGCACATATACATATGTACCAAAATAATCAAGAATTATTAATCAAAATCATTAATGAATTTATCAAATTATGAAGCTTGGAAATATTCATCAATTTTTTTTGTTTAAGGTTGTTATAACGCTAGATCAGAGCTTTGTCCCTCAGTCTTCTCAAAAGTAAAAGTTCGTTGTAGGATGTACCATTCTCTTCAGCCCATTGTAAACCTAGCTCAAAGGCGTTAATTGTGTCTTGTGCTGTGACTTGTGAAGCAGTTGCAATCACGTCGTCGTTATTTTCCTGGTTGTTTGTTGTATAATTAGAAACCTCTTTTATAATCTCTTCGTCAGACATTTCATGAAAAACATTTTCCTCTTTATTCATTCCATGGCACCAGATTTCCAAATCTTCCGGACTTATCTGTGTTTCAGTAGCGACTTGTTCTATAACTTCCGAAGTAACACTGATTTGTGGAACGTTGCTAGGAGTGGTGACTATATCTGGCCATAACTTTTTCCAAGACGATTTAATAGTTGATGACGGTAACGCATTCCACGACTGACAAAGAGCAAAAACCAAGTCTTACATATTAAATTCTTTTCAAGTTTTTTCTATTGGTTGGTCTTTTGATACGGCTCTCAGAAGTAGGTTTTTCTTATAGACTTGCTTGACAAACTGAATGATATTCTGGTCCATTGGTTGAATCAGTGCAGTGCAATCTGGCGGAAGAAACATCGCAGTGTTGCATTTATCCTCAGTTGTTAGTTCTTTTTCAGACGGATGACCGGGAGCGTTATCAAGAAGCAACAACGCCTTTTGAGGAAAATTATGTTCTTTTAACCATTATCTAACTTCAGGTACGAAGCATTCATCAAACCACTTTTTGAAAAGGTCTTTTGTCATCCATGCACTTTTTTGTCCGTAATAGTGTACAGGTAAATCAATGTTTTTGAATGCCCGTGGTTTATTAGATTTCCCAATGACCATCATCTTAAGCGCGTGTGCCCGCAGCGTTAGCACATGGTAGTAAGGTTACACGTACTTTACTTACTTTTCGTCCAGGTACTGATTTCTCGTTACAAGAAACTAAAGTTTTGTTAGGCATCACACGCCAAAAAAGCCCTGATTCGTCTGCATTGTACACCTGTGACGGGTCAACATTTAAATCGTTCAAAAATCTTAATTTAAAGGGCTCTATGCAGGTGGCATCGTTAGAAAGTTTCTCTCCTGTAATAGTCATTAAACGACTTTCAAAACGTTCTAGCCATCCTTTGCAGGCCACAAAATCATCTTTTTTTGTTATTTCCTTATAAAAAAACTTAGCTTTCATGGAAAACATGGGCCTGAAATTGGTGCATGCCTATTTCTTTCCTGAAGAAACCACATGTACAAAGCTTCTTCCACTTCTGGATGTTCAGCTTTCTTGAGTGTCTGTCTCTTGCCTGGCCCGCAGTCAGTAGTTGACACGAGCTTCTTGATCTTCTCGTGGTTTCTTTTAATGTCATAAATTGTAGATCGGCCTACGCCGTATTCACTTGCTAAACTACTGAAAGTTTCATTGCGATTTAAGCGGTCTAAAATATCACATTTTTTTTTTAATTGTCAATGTTTTATGGTTTCGCTTCTGAGTTTGTGATGACATTACTAGGTACTATACTTAATACACAATGAATAAATAGTAAACAATGAACGCACGCTAGGCCGCACCGCTATCACCAGTAATCAAATTCAAACTAAGTAAAACAATGCTTACGCGTCGAGCACGATAGCGGTGGCGCGTACAAGTTGTAACCTGTTCAAACCTGCGTGATCTACACTAGCGAAGATTATCAAATACGTATGTATGTAATACATATTCAAAGACATGTCGGATTACAGGTGGCGCCGGATTATCGGAGGTCCACTGTAAATGCATTTTTTCTTCAATCGGCACTTGTTAACAGATATAAGTACAGCTCTGAAGTTTTGTGTGAATATTCCTCTTTTATTGAAGAATGAAACAAGTGATTATTTTTGATCATATTACTTTTCCTTTTCGAAAAACCTTTGATTTTCTTGAAGCCTCGTCTCGCAGAAAGTTGAGTTTCTATAAAAGCGGCATATTCACATATACTTTCAGAGCTGAACTAATATTTGTTAACAAGTTACGATCGAAGAAAAAAGCGACGATAAAATGCACTAAAAATGCATTTTGTGACAAACAACATTAAAAATGATGTTTTTTAGTCATTTCTATATACATCATGAAGTGATCAGATGAAAAGGATTTAGAATACTGTTGCAAATAGGTAGTTGAAAAAAAGCGAAAAAAGCGACGTGCAACCTAAAAACAAACAAAAACTACTGACTATGAGATGTTGGATCGAAACAAATCGCAATCTACCTCGATCTACCTAGTCTAAATTCGTTGGTCACTCCCAACCGTCAAGGCAAGTGAGGAAATATTATGAATATAGAAAAAGGTTCTTCAAAACAACGAACACCTTTGTCAACGAACTTTGAAGATCTGGTATCTGACAAGTGTTTTAAAATTGGGTATTGTAGCCTGTAACTAAAACTCACAGTTAGGAAGGGATGGTGGTTATTCCTCAGCACTCTGTTCTCTGTCTGGGTGTGAGCAACTTCATCTTTCTGGATGATGACTTCCTTTTTGAGGATCTTGATCGCAAACAGCCTGCCGGTTGCCTTTTCTCTGCACAAAATCACTTTGCCGAATGTACCTTTTCCTAACACTTTCAAAAATTCAAAGCTTTCTAACGTGACTTTTCGTTTGCCGGTTGATTTCGAAATGGAGGTGCCTTGAAGAGAGAATTTTTCGCAGAGATCTTCCATTGTCTCGCTGTTGGGAGAGTTCATTTCAACGTCTTCGCAATCTGAAGAGAGTCTGTCTTTCACCGCCTTTATGGCGTTCACCCAATCTTCCCTGGAAAAAAAAACTTCCCCCATTTATTTTTGAACGAGCAAAGCCAGACAGTCGAAATTCCGAAAAATAAAAAGTGACAATTGAAAATTTTATTTTTATTTTAATTTATTTATTTATTTCCAACAGGTGAAACCCAATTACAGGAAACGCTGAAAAAAATAACAATTAAAGAGACATGGTTCTTGGACTTAAATCTATAGTATCACACATTCTAAATAAGATTGGATGATCTATAGCAGTTAATAATCGATGCCCAACTGTCACTGTAAATATCACACGATTCAGTAACACTGTTCATGACGCAGCACATGAGATTAATTGGAGATTTTGTCATAACATTTGTACGGCGAGCTTGACAATAGAATGCCGTTTGTTGTCGACTCCCTAGCCTTGGAACGCGGAAACATATTTTTTCAAGTAAATTTTGACAGTCAATTTTATTGCGAATGAGGCCATACAAAAACGACAAAGCAAATATGTTTCGTCTTGTTGACAGTGAATGCAAATTGAAAAACTCTAATAGGGCACTAGGGTCACAACCTCTTTGTGGATAAGAACCTGTGCATTTAAGGTGAAAATACTTTAAAGCTTTACGTCGAATGCCTCAAGGATCACGACAGAATTTTGGTTTATAGGAGACCAGATCAGAGTCGCATACTCCAACTTGCTCCTGACAAAAGTAAAAAAAAAGTCATTAATGTATCAACATTGGAGAAACCCTTCCAGTTTCTGATACAGAAACCAAGTAGTCGAGTGGCAGCCGACGAGATATTGAGTATATGCTCAGTAAACATTAGCTTGGTATCAAAAATCACTCCAAGGTCTCTATAAGAGGTGCATCTGTCTATAACCTGACCATTGATGTTATAATTATCATAAATTAAATAGTTAACTTTTCTTGTATAAGTCATAACTTTACATTTCGAAACATTCAGACTGAGACAGTTTCGTGAACACCATGACGAAATTAGAGCTAAGTCACCTTGCAACATGACGCAATCCTCGACTGTCTTGCCTGACGTGCAGATTTTAAGGTCATCAGCGAAAAACAAATGGAAACACTTCAGTTCAAAAGACAAGTCATTAATAAATATTAAAAACAATAATGGACTTAGATATGACGCTTGAGGTACCCCAGACGTGGCCCGATAGTAACTCGACCTATGACCACCATATTCGACAAATAACCTTCTATCCCTCAAATATGAATTCCCCCTGTTTTAAGCTTATCCAGAAGTGCATAATGATCAACTTGATCAAACGCCTTCTGAATATCTGTGTAGATGACATCAACTTGTCCCTGACCGTCCAGTACTTCAGAAATGTACTGAGTAATCAGAGCCAAGTTGGTGACCGTAGATCTGCCTCTTATAAACCCATGCTGATTAATAGAGACTGCACCCCTGACCGAGCAGTAAACCGTTTCATAAGCGATGATCTCAAACAACTTGCTGAAATTGCACAGGATTGCTATTTGGCGATAGTTGGAAATATCAGAGATATCTACACTTTTGTGAATAGGACATATTTTAGAGGTCTTCCAGATATTTGGATATGTCTCTGATTTTACAATTAGGTTGAATATGGAAGCCAGCGGTTTCACTAGTGGATATGGGTTAAGACTTTTCTGTTATCTGCCGATTCACGCTTATTTTTTTCCAATATAAGTTTTTTCATCGACTTTAACATTCACTACAAGTTATGCACAATGAAATTATGTTTGCGGCAACACCGTGTATATCGCTGGCCAAAGAAGAAAAATACGTGGTCAGATGCCATCATAAGAAAATAATTTGATAAATAAATATGAAGGATATATTGCTATAAATTTCAATATTCAATGTAGTAACAGGAGACTATAATTAAGTTATGTCTGGTAAGGAACTTACCTATCCTGTTCAGACTCGGCACAAAACATTCTTTCAATGACAGTGGTCCATTGGAGACCCCTGATGATGAATGTGAAAGGTTTAGGCCTATCATTGGGCATTATTTGGCAGTCCTTCACTGTAAAATTATTCAATGGTTCCACATTGTTATAGTCTTCCGGTTTGTTCTTAAACCCTACTAGAGCTCCATTGTCTAATAGCACAAAATATCTGTAACCAAATGAAAATTTGCTATGCGCATTTTGCAAAAATGGGATTTGAATTGATCCTACTAAATTTTATGGGTATACACAAGTTATGCATTGGTACTGAAAAAAATGAATTGCTTTTATGCTCTTTGAATTGGCAATGTAGATATTATGAAGTATTTTCCATTTTAGTCAAGATGAGGATATACATTAGGTATATAATAATAATAAATGTCTTTATTAATCAGCATACATCAGTGAGGCGAAGTTTAGCCAAATGGCTACTCTTACACTTAACCTCACTGTGTACGAAAGAGTAACACAGTTAAACTCGATACACAAACAAACAATAGTAATAATAAGAAAAAGAAACAGATGCACACTTGAACTATTAATATAATAATAATAAAGTGTCATAAAAATAAAACAAACCAACAACTCAAACACTGAGAGACGATTGCATCTCCAATAGCTGTTTTCCAACTGATTTCTTAAAAGAGAGTAAACTTTCTTGTTTGTTAGCCGCACTGACTGAATTGTAAAGCTCAACAGCATTATACGTGAAAGATCTCTGATATAATGAGGTGTAGTGTAGTGTAGATATATGATCAAATATTTCGGTTCAACATTTTTCTGAGGAATTTAAAGAGCTGCATCGTTTTTTTTGACTCCAATAAAATTATACATTTTGCACATAGAATATCTTGAAAGGCAGCAACTATGTACTTTATATTATCAGACTATTTTTGCATATTGCCACAAAACCTTGTATGTACGGGGTGCGTCATCTATTACTTTTTTTTCTATTTGAAAAATCAACACGCTTTTTACGAGGTGAAATCGAAGTTTCTTATTAATAAATGAAGGTTGGTTTATGTCAAAATTTTCAATGACTTTTCCCAGAATAATCGGGTCTATGGCCGCAATTTCAGTCCGAATATTGCGCTTTAGGTCTTGAATTGTCCGGGGACCATTCGCATACACTTTTCCTTTCAAAAATCCCCCAAAAAAAATAGTCAAGAGGTGTTAAATCGCACGATCTCGGGGCCAACTGACATCTGAATTTCGTGAAATTATGCGGTCTTGAAATTTCGTGTGCAATAAGGCGATTGTTTGGAGAGATGTGTGAACCGTTGCTCCGTCTTGATGAAACCAAAGATCGTCGGCACCAATACGATACAATTGTGGCCACAAAAAGTTTGTTAACATGCCGCGATAACGTTCCCCGTTGACGGTAATGCCCTTTTCTTCGGAACCTTCAAAGAAGAATGGTCCAACGATGCCACCAGCCCATAATCGGCACCAAACAGTCACTTTTTCAGGATGGAGAATTTTGCTTATTTACGTACGCATTGAGGTGAAGATGAGCCTCATCAGAAAAGAGCACTTTGGCCGAAAATCCGTCTTAATGTTCCAGCATCCAATTAAGAAAAACAAGCCGCTGTTGATGGTCTGCCGGCTTCAGTTCTTGTGTTAGTTGGATTTTGTATAGATGGAGGTGTAAATCAATATATAAAATAAAGTGGTCTCACTAATTCCCAATTGTTATGAATGGTACCTAGTCGAGGCTGGACGAGCATGTTGGTATGGTCTACAATCTTCAGCTGAACCAGTTTCCTCAAAACGATTAACAATCCAACGAATTCCAGGCTCTGTAGGGCGTCCATGTCGGCCAAAACTAGTGCGAAGTTTGCGAAAAATATTTTTTATATTTCGACCATTTTCGTAATAAGTTTGGATAACCAAAATGCGTTGTTGTGTTGTAAACGAATCCATGACTATAAATGGCATACGTTTGGCAGTTCATTTATGCATACCACATGACTTTTGACTCACATGGTAACACATAAACTTATAGGTAAAAAAAAGTAATAGATGGCGCCACTCAGTATATTATCTTCTTAAGAATAGTGATCAAAAATTTTCTTGAAAAAATATAATTAGCAATTACCATCAATACTCGTCGACGTTTGTAGAGTATTACATGAAATGAACAATTTTAGTACACATCATAAATTACATTTTTACAAGCATTTAAGGTGTCTCATTGTTTTAGTCTTCACTTTTAACTCAATATCTCTTTATAACCCATTACCCTCTGTGAAGTTTCACTATAACTACTCCAGTCAAACTAAAAATTTTCATATAATGTAGATTATAAATAATAAATACAATTACATTACAATTTAGTATGTTTAACTATGCTGTGGATGTCTATTTTTTGAGATTTTCTCTGTGTGACGTCCCTAATTTGTTAATTAAATGAATGCTTCCACAAACAAGTATATGTTCAAAATGAATGATCAATGGTATTAGAGCAAAACAGAACCTTACGAGTACACAGATCACTAAATCTCATAAATGGTGACTCAAGGAGTAAAATGTGGCATTTCTGTCTCTTTTTGAGAAACATGACAAAACATGATATTTTTGATCCAAAATAAAACAAATTTCCACTCTAGGGATTGATTGGGACTTTATATACATATATTATTCATAATGGTGTATTTAAGGTTCATACCAATTTTTAGCTTTGTGTGAATAGTAATTCATACAAAGCTAAAGCAACATTTTTGTATTATGTCTAAATTTCAAACAATGTTTACAGAACCTACTTTCAGAGTGCTAAAATTTAATATATATAACTTTTGCTAATAATACAGCTTTTACAATCATATATCAGAGTAATTATGTCTGATTTGTTATATTGTTATTCTCATAACAGTTATTCAATTTTATATTTGTAGATATAGTATGAGTTGTGGAATAGCATCAGCTAAACTTTACCCTAGTTAAGGTATATTGGCACTTCTAAATCGGCAATATTTTTCTTCCTAGCCATAGTCTTCCATTTTCATGTAGTTCTATTAGATTGCTAAATTACTGGATTTTGTAGTTCTTCTGATGAGACACTCTGACTAGGTATGTATCTACACATTACAAACAATATTGCCAAGACATAGTTAAGACATATTTGCCCCTTTATTTTTATGAGTGAAAGACATGTAAAACCTTTTTTTTAGAACCAGCAACACATTTCAGCATGTGCACTCGGCACTTCTTAGAATACAGTGGTAAAATTGCTTATGCTAAACTTTGTCCAATATAAATGTTTTGTTATTATATTTCAAAATTTGCATGGTGTCTTTAAGCTCCTTATGGCAGTTTAGTATTTAGTTTTCTGCCTATACAGGTGCATAAGTATAAAGAAATACCTGTCTCTCCAGTTTTTGAAATGCTCTCCTCGTTTTTGAATCCACCCTTCCTTTACAATGCGATCCCTGTTAATGAAGGTCGGAACCCCTGGACCTGTAGAGCTAGCGTCGTTCATTGTGGCTTAGGCAATGGAACAGTCAGCAATCAGTTCAGTATCTTCTATTTTTCTTAGAACATTATAACTGAAAATAAACATGCTCATGTCACAACAATTCACTTATTTTGATCAATCCAAAAGTAAAATATGTGCGCATTGTGCAAGAGCTAAACAGTTTACAAGTTTGCAGATTAGATTAGACTAAAAACTATCAGCGTTTAAAATATATGAAAAAATTATAAATAATCTATCCAGTGAAAGGTTATGTCAAATACCTATCTTCTCAAACGGTGCACACAGCTTTAATGTGTTTTTTGCATTTGCAGCTCTCTATCTCGAGAAGTGCCAATAAAGTGAAATAGTTGTTATTTTGGTTGAAAATATCACCTTTTTTTTCATAACAAAATACGCACAAATTAAAAAGATCAATTTCCTTTCTGTCGTAGACAAACTGTCATCTAAAAACAATGACAACAGACAAGTCTGTCATAAAACATAGAGTGCTGGATCATATTCGCAGTCATTCTCTCCATGGAGTCTATACACCGGGAGAAGCGACAGCTCGTGCTACAAAAAGCACTCCGGAACTTGACGTGGCACGAGTTTAGATAACATGGCCATGCAAGACAAGTGTTGTAATACACCGCAATCCATCAACTGACAAGACGCATTTCTATCCCGGGGTACCAACGGAGTCATTTATGTGTTGTGCAACGATTACAATAGTTGTCTTGCATGGCCATGCCACACAAAACGGCTCCAGTAAAGATAATATGGCCACGCAAGTCAACTATTCAAATAGACTCTAATAGACTATCCGTAGCGAACTGTTTCTCGAAATTGTTGCACACCGCAAATGAAGATTGGAAAAACTGTCGATTTGAAGGACATATGTTTTGGCAGCTAATCTTGTCACCTAGATCGCGGCGTTACCAACGATTCTGCTACCTCTGCTATTTTGCTAGAATGTTATAAAAATAGAAGCTTTGAATGAAATATTGAGGGATACCAACGGAGATATATAAAATTTGAGGCGTAGCAATGTTTGCCAAAAAACTAAACAAGAGCTGTTATTTATATTTTGCGTCGCCTGGCGTCTATGCGGCGGAACTTTAACGTCTCCGAACCCTTTTATACATGCCAACAATTGGAAAAAACAATGTTTCATTATACAAAATATTTATTAACGATTTGTACAAAAATTACATGATCATTTATAGGAGAAGCACGATTTTCATTTTACTGTACTACTTATTAGTATCCGTCTCATACGCAGAGATATTAAGCATTCATTTTGAGGAAGCTTAAAATGGATAGCTGAAGGATTTGAACTTGAATAAAACTTATAACTCGTCGATCATGTGGAATTACATGCAGACGGAATCAGCATTTTGGACGCATCATATATCCCTACTCTTGTTGGACATTTGCTGTCTACGTATCCTCCAACAACCGAGGTAAGACATTGTAGTTTCCTAAGCACGGGGCTGAGATTCCAGGTTTGAAAACGCTAAAGAATCAACGCTTGATTTTTTGCACCATATTTAGTAAACATAATGCCAAGGGCTTAGTGGCAAAGCATGATGTGAAATACTGTCAATTATTGACTATCACCAATTCCTTGGCATAAAAATAGTATTTTGTTCGAGGCTTTGTTAATAGTTTTGAGATTTTTCAGAAATGAATGTACGTAGTCGTGCCATAAGTTCTGTCCCATGATAATCTCATGATAAAAATGAAACAAGATAAGATATATTTATATGAAAGATATTATTTATTCGACAACATTTTTAGAATTCATAATCAAACAGTTTTATTCAAAATGTCCCCCCTTGGCCTTCACACACTGCTTCAATCTCGCGGGCCACTCATCTATCACTGCACGCACAGCTTCCAAAGGAATATCTGCCGCTGATCGGATCAAATCCGCTTTCAGGGACTCGATATTACGGTGGGCTTTGGGGCAGGCCAACTGCTCTAGCAGGTCCAACAACTTGTAGTCTAAAGGATTGAGGTCCGGACTCAGTGAGGGCCAATCTTCCGCAGCAATGAACTCTGGCACATTGCTTTCCAGCCAGCGCTGCGTACTCTTAGCCTTGTGAGCGGGGGCGGAATCCTGCTGGTAGACCCAGTGTTGGTTGGCAAACAATGTACCACTTAAAGGCTTGACGACAGGATCCAGTATGTCGCTCTGATAGTTTGCCGCTTTTGTTTTCATGCCCTGTTTACAGAAATGGAGCTGAGTGACCCCTTCGTAGGACACCCCCCACCAAACCATGACTGACGCAGGGTGGTGGCCTCTCTCAACTCTCGGAATGATCTCCGAAGCTTCCTGTGAACTCCTTGCATACACTTTGTCATTTTGTCGGTTGAATTTTTCTTCTATGGTGAAGATTTTCTCATCCGTGAACAAAATCTTTCGGAATCCCCCAGCTGCGTACCTCTCCAAGAGCTTCTTGGATCTTGTCGCCCTGATGTGTCGCAAGGTGGCCGTAAGTCGCTGGCCCGTACGTCTCCGGTAAGCCCCTAGCCCTAGGTCTTGTTTAATGATGCGCGACATCGTCCGGACAGGAATCTTCATTTCCCTGGATAGGATCTTCTGCTTCCGGAGTGGATTCCTTTGAATCCTGGCTTTTACGGCTTTGATGGCTGCTGGAGTCCTTACTTGACGAGGTCTTCCGCTTCTTGGCCTGTCATCAACAGAGGACGTCTCATTGTACCGCTGAATGGTCCTAGACACAAATTTACGCGATATTTGAAGGCCGCGTAAGAGTTCAAAAATCTGACTAGCACTGTGATTACACTTATGTAAAGCTATCACTGCAATACGGTTCTCTGCCTTGCCCCACTCCATCGTTATGCTTCGAGAGATCAATACAAACTGAGGTATATGTAATTACCCGAAAAGCGCTTAATCAACTGACACCACAATGTAAACAATCGGACAAGTATTAACAGGTCTACACTTGTTTGAAAACGAGGGACAGAACTTATGGCATGACTACGTAAGTATAAAAGAATACTTACAAGAACGATAGATTCGTGCACGATTCGGTAAATTTATTTTTCAAATATTGCATTATAAGGTGGCCAAGATAGGAATCAGACTAGGTTAAATTCAGTAATCACACAGTCTTACATCAAGCATTTGTTTGCAACTCCTAGTTAAATAAAATGAAAAAATAGAAAAAAACACGTTTGTTTATAACTAAAAAAAACAAATGTAACGTGATACATCCTTGAAGCCGTAGAAAAATATGCCATATATATTAGACCCTGATAGCTTCATGCACAAGTAGATGAGTATGCAAGGCTCACCTAGTTTGTTGCACATGTATCCTGTTTCCCTTAGACGAGTTGGAAGCAGACCTAATTTCCACTTTGGAGACACTTGACACCCACGTCACAACACTAAAATACCACTGAGAGACAATCGAGAACCCTATAGTGAACATCACTAATAAAAAAGTAGCTAAACCCAATAGAGCTCTGCACGGAGCTATAAACACGTAGACATTCCGTTGCGACGACGGATGTCGAGAGACTGAAGCGTGAGAGTGCTGTACGGCTGTACCTGGCTGCGGCGATGCGGCCAATGTAAACATCGAGTCGCTTCGTGAGCAGACGCGCGGAGTGGGAGCTGGAAAGGGGCGTGACTGTACTACCCGGCCGTACCGTATCGCCGCAGCGAGGTACAGCACTCTCACGATTCAGTCTCTCGGCAACCGTCGGCTCAGCGGAATGTCTACGCATACACAGCACCGGGCAGAGCTCCATTCGGTTTACTTTTTGTAGTATTGGTGTTCACTATAGGGATCTCGATCAGTGGTGCTTTAGTGCTGTGATGTGGGTGTCAAGTGTCTTCAAAGTGGAAATTGGTCCTACTTCCAACTCTTCTGAGGAAAAGAGGATACATCTGCAGCAAACTAGGTGAGTCTTGCATACTCATCTTCTTGTGTGTTAGGGTTGACATCCTATGTTTATTAAATATATTGCATACACTGAGAGATTAGTCATATAGGTACTGAGGAATTTGGGAAAAACTAAAATTTGGCCAAATCGTTTTTATTTTTGTCTGACTTTACTTTAAGAAATGTCAAAAAACTAATGGCACTACATGATGAAGTTTTTAAATGTGCACGATATTTAAAAAAGTACGACCATGTATCTAATAGCATCTTTTTCTGCGACTTCAATGATGTATCACAACAAGAGTAGGGATGTGCTTCGTCCAAAATGCGTTTGCCTGTAATTCCACATAATCGACGGATACTAATAAATAGTAGAGTGAAATGAAAATCGTACTTCTCCTACTAGATCATGCAATTTTAGATCAAAAAGTATTTTATCCTATAAAACTGGGCATTCAAAAATGTTTAGAGATATTAACGTTCCGCCGCATGGACGCAAAATATAAATAACAGCTTTTGTTTAGTTTTTTGGCAAACATTGCTACGCTTCAAATTTTATATATATCTCCATTGGTATTCCTCAATATTTTATTCAAAACGTTCCACCTAATAGCAGAGGTAGCAAAATCGTTTGATGAGCTGGCAACGCCGCAATCCAGGTGGCAAGAATGACAAGGTTACCTGTCAAGACGGATGCCTATCCCGGGGTACTGTCGAAGTCATTTAGAACGTCAAGGCGGCGAATTTTCATTTTTTCATGTGTTGTGTAACGATTTCGGCAAAAATTTTGCTACGGATAGTCTTCTTGAGTCTATTAGAATAATTTCAACAGTTGTCTTGCGTAGCCGTGTTATCTTTACTCGGACACACAAAACAACAGTGGTGCTTTAACAGGGTTGCCGCGTTGGAAGATTTTTTCTATATTTAGGGGTTCTTTTCTTGGAGAATTTCCAGTTCTTCGAACCAAACCTACCCCTTTCCATTGATTAACTGTAATCTGGGAGATGTTTTTTTTTTCGAAAAAGCAGCAATTCTGAGGGATTTTTGTTCTTGTTTTGCGAAAAATCTGTCCGGCTCATCTGGTAACAATGTGCTTTGACAGAAACAGATTGCAACTTAGCTGATTGTAAATTGACTCAACTATTTTTGCTTATTTCTTGTATATCGTTAGTGTAAGTAGTCGGAAATCCATTGGAAATTGTTACTGTTATTTAGATATCTCCAAGGAACCGGTCAAAAGCCTCCCTTTGTGCAGAGATAAATTGTTGAACAAGGGAAAACAGTAACAGCTCAACCGTTGTCCAAAGATCGAACAGATTTATGGGTTAGGTCATCAAAGATGGAGCCCCTCGATAGAAGAAGAAGATATGCAAGAATTTGTTCCAGGCGTTTTAGAAAAGGTGACTAAAAATTACAAAACGCAACGCTATTGATGTGACCAGATATACAGCCCATTGTATTGTCATTGATTGTCAACCTGTCAGTTTGATCAGCTCGAAAGAATAACGTTATTCATCGCGTTTTTGTACAAATGATTTTCACAAAAATATGACCGGTTTCTTGGACATATATTATATCCATAATGTTGCGCTACTTTTACCCTACCTAGTATTGCGAATAATTCGAAAAAAAAAACGTTATAAGGTGCCTTGCGTAACGTGTAATGAATTATAAAATAGAACCTTTGGAAACTCAACAGCTAATTCACCAAAAAGACAATCAAATGACATGTTAAGCGCGCAAAAATGCGACGTCAATAGCATTACAATTTTTAAGATTAAGATGATATTATATTAGTCGCGTTCCATTTGCTCACAATCTCAGTGAGGCTCACCTTGCTTCATTTCACTTAGTTGGTTTTACCAAATCTCAGTTAAAATATAATGAGATTTCTTTCACAAGTGAGTCAGAAATTAGATTTGACAGCCTCATGTCTGACTGGATCGCTTTACTTGCAAAACGAACCCAACATATTTCCACAAAATTTGTATATGAGAGCAGAGCTCTATACATTTTGACATACAACTTGGATGGGAAACGTCATTTCAGTTTAGTTGTTTTTGTCGTCCTCTGATTCTGAACGGTGACGGACCACGTAGTTAGGTTAAGACTAGAACAAATTAGCCTTTTTTATAAATTAATTTTCACATACAATATGAAAGACTACGCGAAGGAAATCGAGGAGTTGACTAAAAGTCATGTTTATATGAAAAATCCGGGTCGTGTCAACGAAATCATCAACAACATAGTAAATGGAGGAACGACAAAACTACAGATGCTCTTTGATTTCGACAAAACGATTACAAAACAACACGAAAATGGAAAAGTACATCTAAGTAGCTTTGGTAATGAATCGTATTTACCCGCGACATCTTGAGAATCTAATTTTCATTCACACTTTTAGGTATGTTCGAAAACTGTCCATCGCTCACTGATGATTTCAAAAACACCTGTGATGCTATGACAAAGAAGTATCGCAAGATTGAGATAGATCCTACAATTGAGATGTCCGAGAAGAGGAAAAATATGGAGGAATGGTGGCGATTAAGCGAAGAAGCACTAAAGTAAATGCTATATTATTTTTTTTTAGACATGATAATGGACCATTTTTGTTTCCAGAGGCTTGTCTGTTAGCCCTAAGGAGATTGAAGAAGTTTGTGTCCAGCTGGCCCCTTCTTTGAGGTAAATCTAAACTTTTGTCATTATGTACCTTGTGTAGTTCAAGTGTCATAAAAAATTGGCACTCTTAAGCATTTTCAATATACTAAAAAACTGTAAAAAATTTAATCGTTACACAAGTTATTTTATTTGTTTGTTGAAGATTTATGCCTCAATGTCAATTATGTATAATTATTTGTTTGCACATTTTTTGAATCAATTTTCAGTGATTTTACATTATTGTCTATTAAAATTATATCACTATGCATTTTGAGTAATCATAAAGTGATTTTTTAATTTCACCTCAAATGTTTTCAAACACTATTTAATATCATTATACAGTTTACCAAATTGCTAGTTAAGCTGGGTTTTTATTAGATTTCAATTTTGAGATACCGTTTCTTAGATTGTTGATGTTTATTGTCCTGAATTGATGAATTGTGATATACTTGTAATGAACATTCGTAAGTTGGGATCATTGTCATCAATCGTCTTTGCTATTTGATTTATACTGTCTAATTGTGAATTATCTTTGCTATAATTTTTTTTTCTGTCACACCCCATCGTCGAAACTCATTTTACCTAATTCAGTCATTCTATCATAAAAATGAGCTTTTCAGTGGTTTTGCAAAGATTAAATTAACATCAAATTCAATGTTCTTTTATTCATCATTGTCTCAGGTGTCTATAGGACCTTTGCTCCTGGTTTATAAATCTTATCTTATAAATGTCCATGCTATTTCTTTTTTAAATCTAATAAAATTTATTCTTTATTATGCTGATATCTAAAATTTATCACTTAAATATACTAAGGGACATATAAATCCAAACACCCAGTTTAAATGGTTTTATTTTAATAAAATTTTGTATAAGTACCTAATGAAGCATAATAAGTAAATGATAAAAATTCCAAAATGATTGCACTGCTTTAAAGCCCTTTGACCTTTAATAATGTGTGGATGCACCCTGATGTGCTACGCATTCTCCAACGCGCCTAGGCATGCTTCTGATCAGGTGGTCAATGTCCTCCTGTGGTATTTCATTCCAGGCAACCACCACTCCTCTCGAAGTGCTTCTAGAGTCTGAGGATTACGTTGCAAATTGAGCAATCTCCTACCCATCATATCCCACACGTGCTCAATTGGGGATAAGTCGGGAGATCTTGGTGGATATGGTAACAATGTGACATCATTATGTTGAAAGAAGTCTATTGTGACTCTTACAACATGTGGTCAGGCATTATCTTGTTGGAAAGTTGGATCTGTCAGGGTGTCAAGATAGGGTAAAAGATGGGGTTCTAGAACTTCGTGGATATAACGCTGCGCGTTCATGTTACCTCTGATGAAGATTAAAGGTGACCTGGAACCATAAGCTATAGCACCCCAAACCATAACTCCAACAGTGTGATGAACATGTCTTTCAACAAAAAACTGTGGATTCCTCTTTTCACCACGTCGCCTTCTAACCCTGGCACGACCATCGTGCATGCCTAAACAAAATCGAGACTCGTCACTAAAGACAATACTGTTCCATTCCTGATCCCAGAGTGACCATTGTCTGCACCACTCAAGGCGATTACGTCGGTGTTCTCGAGTTAAAGGGAGGACCCAGTGTGGCCAGTATGAAAACAAGCCAAAACTTCTCATTCGTCGGTAAACACTTCGCATGCCAATAGATCTTCCGTGTTCTGCAAACCATTCATTTGCAATGGACCTGGTACTGGAGAAACGGTCCCTTAAGGCCAATAATCTTAGGCGGCGATCTTCACGGTCTGTTGTTCTACGGCGGCGTCCAGTGCCCCTTGCTCTTTGCGTACGGCCTTCTCGAAGCCATGCCTGACAACACCTAACCACAGTGTCTACACTTCTTTGCACTCTAACTGCAATTGCCCGAAAAGAAAGCCAGCTTCCCGAAGTCCCACTATACGGCCCCTATCAAACTCACTAAGTTGACGAAATCGTACGGGTCTCCGTACTCTAGGCATCGTAACCGATCGTAAAGGATGTCAAGAACCAAAATCCGCCAACGTTGATTCTTTACTGCGGCTGAAATATTCATTTTTAGAGCGTTAGTGAATTAAAAAAAAGCTGTATAAAAACCGGAATGTCCAACTGATAAGGCTGAACATTTTTTCACTTGTTATTTACAGTAAGATAAATACATTCACCAACTTTTATTAAAATAAAACCATTTAAACTGGGTGTTCGGATTTATATGTCACTTAGTATAGATGATGTAGTACCAAGTTGTTCTGGAATTCTTAAGTTTGACTGTAGTATAGAACTAAGGGAACAAGTTATATTTATAACAAAAGAATAGATGGTAATTCTATACTCTTCTTTACATTAAAGTTCACCTTTGGAGAGACCTTAGGTTGCCATGTAAAATTTCAGATAATGAATTTCATTAAAAATGGTCACAGTGGCAAGGGTAAATATTTTGTTCAGTTATCCCAAAAATAACAAAGCAGTTGGAGTATGTATCAATGTATTCAATTGTACTCATAGTTACCTTCAGCCTTTCAGATTTTTGTGATCTTCAAAATTTTTCTCAACTATAATTTCATGGTTGGTATTTCATATGATCAATTTACTTTGATTGTCAGGATTAGAGCACCATGGCTCTTAGCATTGGCTTGGAAACATAAAGTGAAAGTATCATTTCCCTGATGTAAAATACTGAATTCACATATTTAAAGTTTTTTGATAGCACGCTTAAAAATATTGATAATCATATGAATTTCAGGGATGGGACATATGAACTTTTTTCAGACTTGCACATGTCCGATGTTCCTACATTAGTGTTTTCAGCAGGCTTAGGTGATTGTGTAATCGCAGTTTTGAAGCATTTCAACATTAAGCTTCCGAATTTAGAAGTAAGTATGAAGAAATATCTAGTTGACATGTCCATGTGAATGTTTAGGTCTTCAGTTTCCCTCCAATAAGAATCTAATAGTTGATGCTAGAACTGGAACATGCTACTACAAGTTTTTTAAAGTAATCATTCATATGGGCTTTTACACAAGTTTGAATATGGCAGAGTTGAACGGGAGTTTTCTAATATACAGGGTGATTCACCAGTCGTGACCAAAAATAAAACTGGACTTAACTAAATTTCGTATGTGGATTTACCTAAGTATTGTCCACATTCAAACGTCTTTAAATAAAATAAAAATAGTACGCCTCAGATTTCTTTTCGAAACGCGCATTTTTTCTAATTTTACCTTCAATTTGCTACATATAGTTACTCTTGAGTTTTTTCCTAGAGTGCATAGCTTTTGTGGAAAAAAAACAAATTAGATGTTTCATTAAATGTTCATCAAGACCACCATTCTGGCGGATACAAGTGCGGCATCTTTTTAATAAAGAAAAACGCGTTTTCGCAAAATGTATTGTGGCTTGTAACTGATCAACTTTATTAATTTGTTCAGCATACACTAGCTGTTTAAAAGCGCCTCACAAAAAGAAATCCAGGGGGTTCAAATCAGGAGGTCTGGCAGGCCAATCTAGGGGTCCATTCCTGCCATAAATGGTTATTTAACCATGCGGATGTCACGACGAACATGCGGTGCGCTGACACCACATTCAGACTCTCGTTGCTAACCGAACATCATCTAACACATTTTCTATGTAATGATCTAAAAAAGCTAAGTATGATTTTGCATTTAAACGTGCATAAACAGTAGGCCATTAAAAATGCCGCACCAGACATTTCTAGAAAATCTGTGTTGAAATGAGTGGATTCTTAAAGAATGGGGATTTTCTAACGACGAAATACGTTCATTATCAGAATTAAAGGTAAAAAGCGATTCATCTGACCACAAAACCGAATCAATAAGATCTGCATTTTGATTATGTATTTGCAGTAACCATTCACAAAATTTCGCCGTTGCACTTCGTCGCCGGGTTGCTTGAATGTTTGTAAGAGAATCTAGGGATACATGTGTTGTATTTGTCGTTGTCTATGGGCGCATGGGGCCCGTGTCAAGTTCCCCCAAACACCCAAGAATCAAACTACATTCAGCAGAAATGTATGAGTTTCCTTCGATTTTCCCCAAAGGGGCCACGAATTTCTCTCTAACCGGGGGCCCTTCGGCTGCTGGCCAGGAGCCCCCACATAGTTTAAGACAGCAGAGGGGCCTGCTACTAATTGATTTTTGCCTGTTCAAATGAATTTCGATGTCCCCTTCATCATCCTAAGGATCTTCTATATTCAAATTATCATGAGATGTAAAAAATATCATAGCAGTTCTAATATATGACGGAAATTAATTTCAACGGTATCAGCTAGAATCAGTCTCCTGTTCTTTATATCAATGTTGAGGATTTCCATTAAAACTTATTGTTAGAGAAAAATATTGTATAGAGTTCATAATCTCTATTCCCTTTCGCAATATTTTATTACTGAGAACGTAGACCCATTAGAATTACGTGAATTGATAATTGCAATCTTTTGTTTTGGGTAGCACTTACATTTTCAATGAAAAGTAGGATATCACAGATAAGGAATGACATATGCGGCTAATTGGAAGAAACAATTTGATAAAGCAGATCAATTACAATACAATGTGCTTACTATCTTTTATGTTATCGGTTCGTTTGTTTTGTTCGGGGTTTCCCGATTCGATCTGTGTTGCCACATCTTGTCAAACCAATGCCGGTTATGTGTTGCCGTTTCTACCATTCTTTTTTATGGTTAACACTTGTACTATCACTGCAAAGTGCTAGAGGTGTAAACGGTGGTGGCTCGTGGCAAAATAAAACAGGTGTTCTGCAAATCCGAACTTACCTATTTTTTATATGTCAGTTCGATCCTGCGCTCCTCTTGGCAGCAAATTTGTCGATCACTTTCCCGTCGAAAAATTTCCATTGTCGAAATAAATTCCTTTTTAATGGACAGCATCGACAACGCTGTAAGGAGAGAGGAAATTTCCTATTAATGGATCTACGACGCTTAAAATATGTCTTGTGAGAGTATCAGCGTCACATTTTTGGGGATTCATATAATTCCAAAAACGTTCTACTGGTTCGCCATTAAATACGAATCTGAAAATTGGATTTTCCCCGAAATGTCCGTTGTTTCATTTGCGATTATCGACAAATACTAGGCTCTGTTAATCCGTTATATTATTTCTTCATGACAAACTTCAAGAATACAATCCAGTATATCGTTTTGTATTTCTTTCGAAGTTCCTTTAAATATTGAAGCATTTTTTATGTGTTCGCTTAAGGGTGTATCAAGCTCAGCAGAAAAATTAATCAGTCCACGAAATATTCCCGGGTTTTGGGAGCTCCCGGTTTCGTCTAGGCCTCGTAGCGCCAATTCAAATGCTCCGCAAAATTTTATACCGAGCACCGGATCTGTATAAGGTGCAGCACATACTTATGCTTAAATCGCGCATTTGATTTTGTAGAGAGAGACAAAAGCAAGCGCGTGCGAAGTAGTGCACAGACCCTTTTCAAGTGGCCCATGAATAATGTTACACTGCGGTCGCGACGAAAATGACAAGTACACAATTGGTCGATTATAACGCTTTCTCAATACAAAACAGACTCGACGCTGTATCTTGCGGGGGCAGCGTTGCCGGTATTGTTTCTATTTATGTGATAACGTGGAAAACAAATAATGATCAAATTACTACTGCTTTTTTCTGTTAAGACAAAAGTTTTGGCAGTTCTGCAGCTCTGCAGAACTTAAGGGCCAGCCGCCCTTGGGTGTAAAGCAACTATTCTTTGCTCGAGTACTCGTTACCCCTAGATATTCAGATTAATGAGTAATAAGCCGGACGCCAAATGATTACTTTGATTATTTAGTTTGAAGTCGAGGCATGCAATGCTGACTCGATAGTGGCCACTTAGAATCTTTTACATTTGTACGATTCGTCTAACCTCAATGGCAGCATAGGATGGGCATCCGAAATTATACAAAAGTTACTAAAAATGTCATAGAAAAGTAAAAATAAATAAAAAATGGCTTCAATTTGAAGGTCTAAAGTGTAACAATAGCAATATCTAATTTTTGGACCATCCTAAGATGAAAAGACGTCCCCCTAGAAATCAAAACTGACGCGTCCGAGCTTTTCTTCCAAAATATACCAGGAGAGTCACAAATGGGGGTGCGACCTTTTCGTTGGACCACCTTGTATGCCTTTTGTACAGGGTGGCCAATATATAACTGACTGATTTAATTTGCTCGCCATATTTGATACACGCATTTCAGTAGGTGGCGCCGTAGTAGTTGTTTAAAGCACATTCATTACGAAGCGCTACACGATCCCACAACGCGTCCGTATTGTTAAAACGTTTTACTTAAATAATGAGTCGATTGTTGCGACGATTCGGAAGCTACGACAAGCTTCCAGTCGGAATAATGCGCCCAGTGTCAACAGCATTCGTCAGTTGGTACGGACTTGCCAAGGTCGGGCCGTGTTCGAACTGTTCGTATTCCGGAAATTTGTCTGATATTATTTTATTTCACTTCACAAATATTGAAGATACAACAGTCAGTTATCGATCACCCTGCATAATCAGAGGTGTACAAAGAATTGACATCCTGAATCTTTTAGGTGATATCCAATTTCTTGAAATATGATGAAGACGGAACCATACTGGGATTTAAGGACAAGCTGATTCACATATACAACAAAAACGAATACGCGATAAAAGGGACCCCTTTCTTCAACAAAATAGCCAATAGGGAGAATGTCATCCTATTAGGGGACTCCTTGGGAGATGCAAGTATGGCAGAAGGCATGGAACATCTGAAGAATATACTCAAAATTGGATTTTTATACGAACGGGTAGGTTTTTTTTGATGGTTTTCGACATATGCGATTCCTGGCTTTGTAGGCTTCAAGCGTTTGTATACCTGTTGAAAAATAACAAGCCCAAAATGGTCAATAGCACCAAAAAAATAACTGAAATAACGTCCATTAAGAACAAGACATTTTTTCAAAACCTTGAAGCCTTCAAGTGTTATTTCCCATATCCATTTGCGTGCAAATATTGTAATCGCGAATCATGTGGAATGTGAGGAGTTACGATTATGTCTCTCTAGCACACACAAAAAACGAAAAAAAAGAAGAAGAATAAACTATCGTTTTTTTACGTTAAGACTCCTGTTCAATCTTGGATATTTTTCAAGGTGTTTATTAAGAGAATACACTTTATAATCCGCCGGTCGCCCCCGTTGACCTCGGGAGTCTTGCAGAATGTAGGGAAGGCGATCGTACATTTTTGATGATAAAAACTAGTCGGTCACATTTTATGTATTTTGATGGTAAACAACAAACTCGGCAAGTTTGATGTTTATCCGAATCGGACTCTTAGTTTTGTTTTGACTGCGTGGGGAATCGGGCGTGTCCTCGGATTTGAGACTCTTCTCCTTCGATGGTGAAGAAAGGCAAAAAAGTCGTTTTACTATGCCGAATTATTGGGCTGATTCGCCGCCGGATTGCAGAAAAAACGGCCCCATTTGGCGAAGAGAAAAGTGCTCTTCCGCCATGACAACACAACGGTTCACAGATCCTCACTCGCGGCGGCTAAATTGGTCGAATTATGCTACAAACTGCTGCCCCGTCCACCGTATTCTCCAGATTTGGACCCGGTTGACTGCTTTTTCTTTCCAAACTTGAAAAAGTCACTCGCCGGGCAAACATTTGAGTCGAACGAGGAGATTATTCTCCAGAAAACGTATTTTTCAGACGGGTTAAAGGTGGAGCATTGCTGGGTGAACTTTTCCAAAAATTTTGTCTTTCTTTTGTAGGCTAAGTACTTATCGGGCCGCCCTCGTACGTAAGATTATAACATTTCATATCACTACGGTAGATAAACAAAACTTTGCGGTCGGCTCTTGGACTAGACAAGTGAAAAGCGATCTATGTGCGGAGCATCTTTGCCTTGGCGATTCACTCATAGGCGGCGTGCATATATCGAGGTGGTGTTGCCAAACTGCCATAAAATGTTTATAAAACGCTACATGCATACTAAGTTGGAGTTGGCTCTTTTCACGGTTTTTGGTGGTTACGGCAAAAAGTTATGCGACATAAATAAACGTATCGTTTCAAGGTCGGGCTGTGTAGGTAACTGGCGACCATATGAAAATCTAAACGCTCCCTGACCAAAAAGATTCTCTTCTTCCTCTCTCCTTTCTCTCATTTCCTGCCTTTTTTTTCCTTGAAATTGTACGGTTTCTGGGTTACCAGACCTGACAGACTTACAAACTGACACAATGACACATTTTTTAGCTCTAAATATCGCGAGAGAACATCCGGCATTTCTAAAAAAGCGCAACATTCCTGGTATTGATATTTTACCAGATATGGTATATCAGCATGAGGAAGTTCATGTTCATCACATATCTATAATTTAGATATTTTTTAAGTGTGCAAAATATGATGTTCAAAAACCGAAACTTCCCATCCCATTGACGAATTATACCCAGATGCACAAATGTATTATACAGGGTGTCCGCAAAGTTGGGGTTTTCCTTTTCAGAAACAACTACCCTTGAAATAACAAAGGTAATGTGTAGTGAAACGAGGGCGACCAAGTAAAAAAAATAAAGGAAAAAGTACTCACTCTCCAGTTGACGAGAAGGGCTAAGTACTTCTCTGCTCGAAATCATACCGCTACAACAGAAAATTAATCAGCTGATGCGCTACCGAGCAGACGCCGGCGGTGGTGCAGACCAGTAGATCACGAACAGAGGTAACAAATATGACCATCGTGCAGAAACCACATTGATTGTCTTACACTTAATGGCACATCTTCTAACAAGGAAGGCAAAATGTTGCGTAAAACGTCTAGGTATTGCATCCCGTCCAATCGATTTGGGAGAATAAATGGTCCAATGAGCATACCGTTCACCATGCCAGCCCAAACATTCACCGAAAATGTTTCTTGAAAATGTGCCCGACGGACAGCGTGCGGATTTTCTACTGACCAAACATGAGTGTTGCGAAAGTTATTCACCCCATTACGCGTGAACGTAGATTCGTCTGTCACCAATATGCACTTCAAAAAGTCCGGATTATTGTCATGTTGATGCAACAAAACCGCACTCTTGCTGGAAAATCGTCAGGTTGAAGGGCTTGTACACGTTGGACGTGAAACGGATACAGCCCCTCTTCACGCAGCGTTTGCCACACTTTAGTTTTTGATACTTGCACTTCTCTAGCCACGTCTCTAGTGCTTGTTGAGGGATTCTCGTCTATGCGATTACCTCTACAAGCGTGACCATAACCGTCGGTTGAAGGTTGCATACTGACCTGACACACTGACCCCGACCCAGTTCTGTCGTCGGGTTGAGCCAGTGACATTGTACCACTCCGTGATGTCGCGGCTACAGGACGGTATTCAGATATTTTTGATGTTGCAGAGCCCTTTATCTCGGTTCCCTTAAGACATTGGTATATATGGTACTAAGAAAAATTGCTTATGTTTTCAAGATCTACACGTCGTGTAAAGGAAAATCCCAACTTTGCGGACACCCTGTATAAGACAGCTTTATTTTTTACACATTATCACTCATTACAATACAGGTACAACATTCGTGGCACAGTACTTCCTCAGCCTCATAAATCTATAATGCAGCGGTCATATCTCTGTTTAGCGCCAAAATGACATAGAAAATGCAACACCGACTAGTAGTGCTGTAACTTTGACCTTACTTTTACAAGTTTTAGGTCTACATATAAACAGAAAGTGATTAAAATTTTATCTCGAAATTTAGCAAATGGAACAAACACAGAAACTTCACTGAATATTAAGTGAACATATTCATATTGTTCGGATCCTGATATGACAAAAAAGCTTTTACAAAAAAGTACGCCTTTCAACATTGTATAGGCGTGTACTTCCATGATAGCAAATATGTTTACAAGTTTTTATCAATAAATAATTGAAGAGTATGTTCTAAAGGATCTAAGTGCCAAAAACAAATATTTTCAATATTATTCATGTGAAAACGGTCTATGTGCCATGCCTAATAATATTGCAAAGGTAGTAAGTGCCAGCGATTCATTTAGGTGTTTGTTTTCTGTCGAATAGATGGCGGTCCCTGTAAGTGCCGACATACATTTTATTCATAAAGGGTCTAAGTGCCAAAGCTACGAAGCAGATTTGATTTCGTGACAGTGTTCCATGTTTTAACTGAAAATGGAATGAAAAGGAAGTGTGTACTTGGATTAGAGTACAAAACTTATCGAGGTGATATAAAACCTGCAAAAAATCCTAATAAGGCACATAGACCCTTTAGAACTGGCACTCTTCAATTCTGGGTGTTTCATTTTATACGAGTATGTCGCTTAGTAAATAAGAACGAATGCGTCGATAGTACCGAGGCAGCATTTTAACTCCATTCCTTTTTGTTTTAGAGTGATGAAGCTCTGCCAGCCTACATAGATACGTTTGACATTGTCCTATTGGACGACCAAACTATGGACATTCCTAGAGCAATTTTTGATAGGATTAAATCGAATCCCCACTCTGTATCAGAATTGGGTAGTAGCTAAATTCCATATATTATTTATTGTTTAAAGGATAGCTGAAGTCTGGGTTTTTAGAGGATATGTTTGGTGCTGTATTTTAATTTAGTAGCTAGGAACAAAGTGGAATCACTGTATTTTTTCATTTTCTCATATTTTAGTTTACGTGCTAGTTACATTTTATATTTTACGTATATGACATTCATTTATAGTCTTGGATGTCATGTACTAAATAAAATGTGAATCAATGCAAACTCATGTATGTAGGTACAGCTTTAAACAACTTAAATGAGGTGACAAATGGTTGAGACGGTGCTGCAAAATTCTTCTGATCCACTCTTTTATTTTCATCAATATTGTCCACGTATCAATTTTCTTATGAAAACAAAAAATGGAATAGGTGTATTAATGGAAAAATCAGAAGCGACGAATCATGAAATCGAAACTATTAGTGGTTAATTTGCACCAATAATTATAGGCAAAACTGATTATGAAAATTGCCCCCAAAGGTATCGAAATCTGAATTAATCCAAGTTAAGGTATATCACAATTTCCCGGAAAAAACAAAAAATCGGAAAAACATATTCACCGATTTTTCCAATTTTCAATTCCAGAGTAGGATATTAGATCTTCTCTCACCCAAAAACTTAATCCTATCCTATTTTTGCGACTTTCCAAAAACTCAAATTTCCCGGAAAAAAAAAATCGGAAAAACAACATTTTCACCGATTTTTATAATTTTCAATTCCAGAGTAGGATATTAGATCTTCTCTTACCCAAAAACTCAATCCTATCCTATTTTTGCGATTTTCCAAACTCACAATTTCCCGGAAAAAACAAAAAATCGCAAATACATTTTCACCAATTTTTCCAATTTCCAATTTCAGAGTAGGATATTAGATCTTCACTTACCCAAAACTCAATCCTATCCTATTTTTGCGATTTTCAAAAATCACAATTTCCCGGAAAAAACAAAAAATCGGAAAAACATATTCACCGATTTTTCCAATTTTCAATTCCAGAGTAGTATATTAGATCTTCTCTCACCCAAAAACTCAATCCTATCCTATTTTTGCGACTTTCCATAAACCCAAATTTCCCGGAAAAACAAAAAATCGGAAAAACATTTTCACCGATTTTTCCAATTTCCAATTTCAGAGTAGGATATTAGATCTTCACTTACCCAAAAACTCAATCCTATCCTATTTTTGCGATTTTGCAAAATCCCAATTTTCCGGAAAAAACAAAAAATCGGAAAAAACATTTTCTTCAGAGTAGGATATTAGATCTTCATTTACCCAAAAACTCAATCCTATCCGATTTTTGCAATTTTTCAAAATCATTTCCCGGAAAAAACAAAAAATCGGAAAAACAACATTTTCACCGATTTTTACAATTTTCAATTCCAGAGTAGGATATTTGAACTTCTCTTACCGAAAAACTCGATCCTATCCTTTTTTTGCGACTTTCCAAAAACCCAAATTTCCCGGAAAAAACAAAAAAACGGAAAAGCATTTTCACCGATTTTTCCAATTTCCAATTTCAGAGTAGGATATTAGATCTTCACTTACCCAAAACTCAATCCTATCCTATTTTTGCGATTTTAAAAAATCACAATTTCCCGGAAAAACAAAAAATCGGAAAAACATATTCACCGATTTTTCCAATTTTCAATTCCAGAGTAGTATATTAGATCTTCTCTCACCCAAAAACTCAATCCTATCCTATTTTTGCGACTTTCCATAAACCCCAATTTCCCGGAAAAAACAAAAAATCGGAAAAACATTTTCACCGATTTTTCCAATTTCCAATTTCAGAGTAGGATATTAGATCTTCACTTACCCAAAAACTCAATCCTATCCTATTTTTGCGATTTTGCAAAATCCCAATTTTCCGGAAAAAACAAAAAATCGGAAAAAACATTTTCTTCAGAGTAGGATATTAGATCTTCATTTACCCAAAAACTCAATCCTATCCGATTTTTGCAATTTTTCAAAATCATTTCCCGGAAAAAACAAAAAATCGGAAAAACAACATTTTCACCGATTTTTACAATTTTCAATTCCAGAGTAGGATATTTGAACTTCTCTTACCGAAAAACTCGATCCTATCCTATTTTTGCGACTTTCCAAAAACCCAAATTTCCCGGAAAAAACAAAAAATCGGAAAAATAGTTTCACCGATTTTTCCAATTTCCAATTTCAGAGTAGGATATTAGATCTTCACTTACCCAAAAACTCAATCCTAACCTATTTTAGCAATTTTTCAAAATCACAATTTCCACGAAAAGAAAACACTATTTTAACGACGGAACTGCAACAAACTTTAAAATGCATATTACAATTGGTTACTAGGCTAGACAACTATCCGTGCGTGAACAAAAGCGTCAAGAATTTACCAAAATTAGCGAAACTGCAGTTTTTCCTATTTTTCCAATTTCCAGGAAACAAATCAAAATTTTGATGGTGAAACAAAGAATGGACGAAAATGCATATACATGTTGAGTTTTTAAACCATCCAGCTTATCCTTATTAATGAAAATGTGGTTTTTCACACATATTTACAGTGATTTTAAGTTTGCGAAATTCTCACCACTTCGATAAAGTAATTAAAAAATGTTTTTCTGGAACCTATAAGTTTAACAAATCTATAAAAAATCAAGGTTATGTAAAATATAACAATGTAACATCGGTAATTTTTTCAAATGTGTTTGAGCATAATTGCTTCCTTAAAAGATAATTTCGAAAATAGATGTTTTTGGGGCCATTTTCATAGTAGTTTCACCTATATCTTTGGATAGAATCCTAGACAAACTTGTCACCCTACTGAAATGCTCAAGTATTTAGAAATGATGGAGATTTGGTGAGATGAGATTACTAATTGAAAAAATACTACAAAAAGAAAATGAAACAAAATGGTATTTTTATACATATTATCGGTTACCTGTCGCATCGAACCAACTTTCAGCTATCAACCTATTAACTGCTATATTGCACTTCAGCACAAAGCTGTGTTTGTGATGTTCGTTTTAACGAATCTCTCTATTTATTTATTGCTCACAATTTTATATTTGTATTTTATATTTTGGGCTATCATCACTGTATAATAACAAAGAAAAAATCAGTGGTGTATTCTTATAAATAAACTGCTTGTTAATCTATTTTCGTTCTTTTATTTATCGACCGTTCTTCTTATTAGAATGAGATGCAGTAATTAGACGAATTCTTTATACAGGGTGATCCAAAGTGAATAAGACATGCGGTGCCGATTTTTAATTTTCGAAATAGTTATTTCTCTATAATTCAAGATTTACCACGAAATAACTTTTAATAAAGAAAAATAGTGGAATGGAAGAAAACTGATAGCGAGATTATAGAGCTCAACCACCTTCTGTATACAATGTTGAAAAACAAATATATACAGGGTGTGACAGCATAACTTCCTTTCTTCAAAACTTGAAAAAACCTATGGTATAAATCGGAACATTTTTTTGTTTTTTTTATAATGTACGCACAAGCCTAAAGTTTAAAGTTGTGAAGATTAAATCAGGTAGGTGACGTCCCCTTCTCCATACACTGAGTAAACCGATTTTTGGCGTTTGTCATGACTCTTTTCAACATATCAGGCATTATGTTGGCAATTTTTTCCTGGATGTAGGTCTTCAAATCTGGTAGGGTTCCTGGGCGGTTCACATAAACATGGGGCTTCAAAAAACCCATAGAAAAAAACCACAAGGCGCCAAAACGGGAGAGTGAGCCATCCACTCCAAATCGCCCCCAAGTGCGATGCAAAAATGTTTGAAGCAACAGTTGTTATTCTCTACAATATTCATCATAAATGCGAGTAGAATTAAACCCATATGAAATGATATCTTTGCAAAAAACCAATATTTGTGCCTTAAGACGTGGACACGAGATTTAACGAACTTTTGCCCAAACTTTTACAATGGCAAAATAAAGGTTTCTACAACTTTACAGTTTATCTCTCATTCCGAGGTTCACTCTCTTTTATAGCTTATATAATTGGGCTGGTGAAATTGTCAGCAGTGAGCCTCTCACCGAGCGTCAATTCCAGGTGTCTCTGGTAGTCAACCCATCTACACCATTTGAGTTGCAATATACGCAGTTCGCGTACTCTCTTTCCGATCCTCCTCAAGTACCTAGCTGAAAAAAATTACCATGATTTTGTGTATAATTTTTTCTTTAGGATCTGCCCCCGAAATAATTTTCTTCCCCTAGCCCTTCAAATACTTTTTGGGGCAATGAATGGCAACTACTGAGAAAAATTCCTGCAGGTGCCATGGAGGAAAGTGCTGTTTAAGGTGTATTCACAAAATAATTCTATTTCGAGATATTTATCTTGGAAATTATAGTGGTACAAATGCAACTATACTATGGCGGAGGGAATTCCTCACAGGTTTTAAAATCACTTCATCACGAATTATTAAAAATGTTACAATCTTAGGCCCACCATTAGCTGCTTTTGGAAAAATTTTGACACAAGGCTATATGGAAAAAAAGAAATAAGATTTATATTTTTGGAACATTGATTACATTTGCGACAGAGGCGCTAACAATCACTGTCGCGGGGGTTGGAGTCGTTGAAGTTTTCAGATATATTTATTTACGATAAACACCAATTATGTTTCTGGAATCTTTTAAGCTTCAAAATTTATTACATCATCCTGTTTTAATTCATCAATTCGCCACCAGATGACGACGCGCAGATTAAAGCGAGCACATCTCTATACTTACCTCTGCAACATCTCTAGCTCGGGCATCTGTCAATGCCATTTTTCATTTGTCAGTTAGGCCTGAGACATATGACCGGTGTTGCCAGAAGTAGCGGAATTCCGCTATTGATAGCGGAATTTTCAAGTGGTAGCGGCGTAGCGGCGGAATTGGATTTTTTGTTAAAAGTAGCGGAGTTTTTCAATTTAGGTACACATGATGGATATTCTTACCAGAAAAAAAAATGCAGGTAGTAACCAAATCTAAATACAGGTATCTTTCCAATCGACAGTGGTAACCACCGGACGGTAATTCTTATTCAACGGAGACGCGTATAGATGGTAAGTAGGTGGTAAGAACACAACCTGTGAAATACGTCTAATAATTTCAACATTTGCCACATGGTAATGCAGATGACTAGTGGACATTCTCATATATGGAGATAATCAAAACAAAGAAAAGGAATCCTTATTTTACCTTCAACTTTGTTCACGATACTTATCAAACTGGATACAATATAAAAAAATGTTGCTGCTTAGACTTCGAGTGTGGTGAAAAACATTTAAAAAAATACAAAAATAATTTACATAGTATAGAGGGAACAGAAATGCAACAAGAAGAATCTGATACAGACAATGACTAAGTTTAAGTAACTCAAAAACAATTTTTTATGCAAAACAGAAATGGCCCTTAGTCATATGCTTTTTATTTTTTAGTGTTCTGTGATATTTTTTTAATATGACTGCGTGATAAATGTTCTGTTGTTTGACAGTTATTTGTAATATTGTATTGGTTTTTATAGTCAAATGTTTTTTTATTACAGTTTTGTTATATTTTATCACGCTGTTTGGTGTTTGTTTTCCTTTTGTGACACAACCTGTATAATAAATGCCCCCCTGTTTTATGATAGTGCGCCAACCCCCTCCCCCCCGACGATAATCCCCAGGGTAGCAGAAAGTAGCGCAGTTTTTCGATACCAGTAGCGGAATTTTCAATTTTGGCTCTGGCAACACTGCATACGACTCTTTTCTCTGAGCTCGCTCATTTTGTTCATCTCTCTTCAGTGAGTCGTTCGTTCGGAGTCGTTCATTAGAACGATAGAATTACCGACCGGCCTCGAAGCTAACGAGAGTATTGTGTTGCCTATAGTAACGACTCACTGAGTCAGATTATACATCATACTATGAAAATGAAATGAAGGGTTAGGGTTGCCGATATTATTGCAGTCATTTAAGTATTAATATTTTTGGTTGAAATGGGATATTTGGTTCGGTTTTGAAGAATTACCGAATTTTGAATCAAAATGCAATTTTTGCTCTCAAATCCCATCATTTCAACGTATAATTTATTGAGACATCTCAAAACAAAACAACCGGGTTCCCTAGATAGTGTCTGTTGTCAGTTCGCAATTCAGTTGCTGGATACTGCAGACGTGCAGACATACTTTGCACAATTGAACGAGTCTTATCTAACAAAAGAGTCGTTGAATCATCGCTCACATAGATGAGTCGTTCATTTTGAACGACTCGTTCGCGAACGATACATGACTAGTCTCAGTGTTTTTTAAGGCGTAGGGCGTAGCGTACGCGGGAAAAGTTCTTGACAGATATGATTTTCGATGATTTTCCACTTGTTTGCCGTTAGCATTGTCTTAACAGGTAAGTCTAGACCCTGAACGTCAACTAAACCGAGCAAGATGCTGGCGACGTCTTCTAAGAATGTAAAATTTGCAACGTAAAAAACATTTTTTATCACGATATTAAAAAGTTTATGGAACAACCTGTACCTACTTATTCATTTCAGTGTCTGCTGATAGGGAAATATGTTTTTTTCTAATAAAACCAGTTTTTTAATAATTCGCCTATTTTTTATTTTGTCTTTTTAGTGCCGTACTAGAGACCTTACAAACTTATTATAAAGACGTCTTTAAGAAGCACAGTTTTTGTAACAAACGTCGTCTTTACAACATCTTCAAGATGTCGTACAGTGTTGACAAGACGTCTCTAATATTTAAAAATTACGTTTTCAAAACGTCTTTAAGATATACTTAGTTGTCCTATTTGGGTTAGAGGTTAGAAATCTAACAGGGGATATTTCATTCGCTTAGGTTGGCTAACCTTGCTCGTTCGAATTGAGATCGCCTTGCAAGAAATTGCAAGCAATGGCCTTGCGGACTGTAAAACGGTTTTTAATAAGCACGCAGTTTGAAAGCATTGCGTGGTAAATTCGAAGTCAATCTACTAGACTAGATTTCTTCTATACAACACCGGAGATCATCCGCCAAAGCAACTGGCGCCTGGCTTGGAGGGGATCCGTTAGCGAAAAATATAAGCCCGAGTGTGACCTCGCGGTTTTTAATAAGCACACAGTTTGAAAGCATTGCGTGGTAAATTCGGAATCAATCTACTCGATTCCATTCTTTCTATACAACTCCGGAGATCATCCGTCAAAGAAACTGGCGCCTTGTTTGGGGGGGATCCGGCAGCGAAAAATGTAAGCTCGCGTGTAATCCCGCGGTTTTTAAAAAGCACAAGTTTGAAGCATTGCGTGGTAAATCGGAGTCAGTCTACTTGACTCCATTCTTTCCATTTAACTCCGCAGATCACCCGTTAAAGCATCTGGCGCCTCGCCTGGAGAGGATCCGGCAGCGAGAAATGTAAGCTCGCGTGTAATCTCGCGGTTTTTAAAAAGCACACAGTTTGAAGCATTGCTTGGTAAATCGGAGTCAGTCTACTTGACTCTATTCTTTCCATTCAACTCCGGAGATCATCCGTCAAAGCACATGGCGCCTTGATTGGAGGGGATCCGGCAGCGAGAAATGTAAGCTCGCGTGTAATCTCGCGGTTTTTAAAAAGCACACAGTTTGAAGCATTGCGTGGTAAATCGGAGTCAGTCTACTTGACTCCATTCTTTCCATTCAACTCCGGAGATCACCCATTGAAGCATCTGGCACCTTGCTTGGAGGGGATCCGGCAGCGAGAAATGTAAGCTTGCGTGTAATCTCGCGGTTTTTAAAAAGCACACAGTTTGAAGCATTGCGTGGTAAATCGGAGTCAGTCTACTTGACTCCATTCTTTCCATTCAACTCCGGAGATCATCCGTTAAAGCATCTGGCTCCTTGCTTGGAGGGGATCCGGCAGCGAGAAATGTAAGCTCACGTGTAATCTCGCGGTTTTTAAAAAGCACACAGTTTGAAGCATTGCGTGGTAAATCGGAGTCAGTCTACTTGACTCCATTCTTTCCATTTAACTCCGCAGATCACCCGTTAAAGCATCTGGCGCCTCGCCTGGAGAGGATCCGGCAGCGAGAAATGTAAGCTCGCGTGTAATCTCGCGGTTTTTAAAAAGCACACAGTTTGAAGCATTGCGTGGTAAATCGGAGTCAGTCTACTTGATTCCATTATTTCCATTCAACTCCGGAGATCACCCA